ATATCTTCCTTATTTGTTGATAATGGTATAGAAGGCTTATTTGGCCATTATTCAAATACGTTTCTTGCCTTCTAATAATGAATTAGATAGGCAAGGGTTTTGGGCTTTTCACAAAAGTATTCTATGTCTCCTGTATATCTGAATTTTCTGTAATACCATCCGAAGTCTTTATATAAGGTTCGGATAGTTATCAATCTATATAGGACTATTCATGGGAATAGAAACTCTGATAGTGCTTTGACTTTATATACCAGATTCTATTGTTTGTATTATAGCAAAAGAATAGGTTTATATAATATTCATTATTGTTAACGGGTCTTTTCTTTTAGGATATATGTGATCAATTTTATCTTATTATAAGTAGATTGGGATACTGGTCCAGTGTCCCAGTTGGAGTTCTTGATATTAAGGTTAGCGAGATAATCGGCTGCCTTGTTTCCCTCGATATTTTCACACTCTAATGATCACTTGATACAAATATTGTTGTTTTTCATAATTCTATAGCAATTGTTGAACACCCATTATGATAATATAAAGGTATTGACCTTTATGTCCTAAATGACTAAGGTGTTATCGATGTATATCCAGATTTTCTGATTGATATATCTGGCATCCTTGAGGGTGTGTTCCAGACCTTTCCATGCTCCAATAGCTTCTGTATCGAAGATATGGGATTGGATGTTAATAAAACCGGAGTCTACTAATATCTAGTTCTTATCTAGGTATATTATATACCTATAACCTATAATATGTTTTTTTTTCATATAATTTTCCGATTTATTCGAAAAGATAGTGATGTCTGTATCTGACAGATTTTCTTATCAGGTGTTGAAGGCTTTTGCAGCTGTTTTCTTGTTGAACCTTTTTATTAGATTTATTCGATAATCAGATATATATTATAATAGTTCAAATGTAAACCTTGGGATTGGGGGGATAAGGAGATCAAGTCGTTAGACTTTGATCTTCATTCTTTGTCTTTTGCCTGTGTCCTGTCCTTTGACAATTATAGGAGATTCAATTCTTTTTGTAAATGGGTAGATTACATCTACACTTTGGAGGTGTAAGGCAAACCTTAATTTAGCTTTTTCAAAAACTGTTATAATTAAAGGGAGACCTGTTTTACAATAGAGAACAATCATTAGTATAATTTTTTAGATTGGTATAACTCCTTGTATTACTACTATAAAGACTTTTTCGATTTGTATCATATACTAGCTGAGGCAGATGCTAATCTTTGCTTGTCCTGGTTTTAGTTTTTGTATAGTCTTGAATCTTTCTTTATATTAGGCTTCAATTCTGTATAGAAGTAAGAGAAGTATATATGTAATTACTACCTTATGTATAGTGTATACTAGAGAGCTTTGTATAACTTTGGTCAGATCTTATATATACTTTGCTACTGCCTTGGTTTTATTTGTGTATTTAATGATATGCCTATAAAAGTTTAGCTTTCTGTTAAACTATATTCCCAGTTATTTTAGTGCTAAACGGGTATTTGTTTTTGTAACCACTATCGGGTATATCATAAATTCTTCATTCACCCTAATAATAGGTATTATATTGTTATTATTTATAGAGACATAGATCATTTCCAGTTTCTCTGGGGCAAAGATAATATGATTATTTGTTCTTTATTTTATAATGTTTTGTATATCTATAATAAAATATCTGGTGTTTTCCTTCAAGGTTTTGGATATTCTGTATAAGTATATATTGTTTATAGATCCGAATTTGAGAGAAATATTTTTTGAAAATAGTTCTGTCAGGTATAGTATATACAGAATTGGTGATAAAGGGGAGTTTTGAGGGGTTTTATAAACTACTGGGTATTCTCTGGTTATAGTTTGTTCTAGCTGTATTCTGACTTTCCTTTCTATTAGGAAGGAGTCAATTAACAGGAATAAATCCTTAGATTAGCTTTGTTTCGTTATTCTAGTAAAGAATTGTTTTTTGAGCAGTATATCAAAGATGTTTTGTATATCTATAGTGATTATAATCATTTTTTTCTCAGTTACTAGTACTGTTTCTATATTGTATATAAAGGATACTACCAGGTTTATTATAGAATATTTGAATAAGGCTCTGCTGTGTTAGAGACTAATAATGCTATGTTTTAGGACTATCCAGTTTAATCATTTGGCGATTATTCTTTTCAGGTTTTTTTCTATATAGAAGAGTAGGGCAATGGGTCTTTATAACCTTGCGGATGTTATATCCTTTTTCCCGATTTTGGATAATATAACTATTTCAGCTAATTTCCAGGTTTTCGGGAAGTGATTACGTTTAAAGCATTTCTGGTAAAATTGTCTTAGTAGGTCTTTGAGGTGGTTTTAGTAGGCTTTGAGGATTCTGATTGTGATTTGGTTAATTCCTGAAGATATATTAAATACTTCAATAACATTTGTTTCGACTTCTTCCAATATAAACTAGGAGTTCTAGAGTAAGTGTCCACTTCCTTTTTACTAGTCTTTCAGTGGGTTGTATTCTAGGTTATCTTCTGTGTTGAAGCGGTCCAAGATCTCTGTTCTGAATACTTCGGCTTTTTTTATTATGTTTTTTATTACTACTCTGTTTGAGGTGATTGAGGGGCTTTTGAGGTTTGGGACAAGTTTGTACTAGCTGACTATTTTGTATAGGTTCTTATCACTAGAGATATCATTTATGATGTGTCTTTAGTAGTTGTGTTTGGCTATTTTAACTGTTATTTTGAATTCCTTTGTTGCTGTGGTAGGGGGGTTCTCTGGTATGGTTTATTTGCTCAGATATTCGGTATAAACTTTTTTGCATTTTGTTGTCTATCAGGGTGTTGCCTTGTCTTTTCCTCTATCCATGATTTCTATTGCAATTATTGTTTGTTTGATGATTTGTATAAGTTGGTTAATGAAGTTATTTATTCTTTCTGGGATATCAAGGATGCTATTTGTAGATAAGTATATTACTTTATTTGTTATTAGCCCCGTTAATTGCAGTAGTTCTGTTTTTAGGATATAGATATTATATTAATCTAAAGACTTAATCCTTTTGTCAGGTATTATTGTTATTAGAGTATAATGATCCAAACTATTGTAAAGGTTATACTAGACCCTGGTTTTTGCAAAGGGTATATTGGAAAATGAAAGATTAAGCATATTTCCTTCTATATAGGTGGGTGTTTCTCTTTTTCTAATATATTCTAATTCAGTTAGATTTGTCCAAGCTATTAGTTTGTTCTTTTTATAAAGGTTTTCCGATCTAGGTTGCTATGTTTTGTGTATAGTATTGAAGTTGTTTTCAATGAGATACCCTAAGGGTAATTGTAATTCGGTGATATATGATAGTATTTGTTCTGTTTGTAGTTATTGGTTAATCTATTAAGATTTAATTTTTTTGGGAAATAGATAAACTGTAGACTGCCTGGCTACGCAAAAATAATCTATCTGCAACCCACAGATAGATAGGTAGATAGGTACGTATATATAGATAGATAATCATAATCTATCCTGTGAATAATATATCTAGGTATTGAGTGTTTTCGCTTATACTCGAGTATATCAGTAAGTATATTAGTAGGAGTATATGAGTATTGGGATTCTTGAATTATATGTTTTGTGTATTGTGGATTATTTATATAGATTATTTGTATATTATAGTATATATATGATTTTGAATTGGAATAATATATCAATTTGTATATAGATAGATGGATTATTTGTTAATTGATAGATTCATTTATAAATTCTTTATCTTTATATAGTAAAGTAAATTATTAATTAGTATTTATCTATAGTATACCGGTATTAATTTTTATACTATTAATTTCTATAACTACTCGAGTAGCACTAGCAAATATAAAAAATTTAATCTTAAAATAATATATTAATTTATAAAAATTATTTTTCATAGTTTATCTACTCGTAATCGAGTGTAAGTTAATGAATTAATTATCTTCGAGTATACTCCGAGTCTAGATTGATAGATTATTCACACTAGCAAGTATTTATAGATAATCTATAGGTTGCCTATTTCAAGTTCAAGTTAGGTTTTCTAATTACAGTACTAGGTATCTACTCGAGTATTTTGTTAATAGTAATAGATTATTTATGAGTTATGAGTTATCTAATAGTAGTATTAGATCAATCAATAATTTGTTTTGTGGGTATGTATCTGTTGCGCATTCTAGAGATGGGAGATCTTACTAGATAGACGGGAATTTGATATACTAGTTGATATGATATGATATGATATGATGTGATATGATATAGATTTTTACAGGAGGATATGTATGTATGTATGTATGTACCGTATACTTTCGAAGAATTCGGATAAGCTAAGCAGTGATTAAAACTTAAGGTTATTCTGACAGATCTGACTTCTGTATTCCTATTGGCAGGAATCCTTCACCTGATCGGCAGTTATATTATATTAAATTAAAATGTGTGGGATTTGATCCAGTTTTCCCTATACCAAGAGAAATAGCTTAACTGAATTCTTCGAAAGTATACGGTATATATGTATGTTATATGTGTACAATTACAACTACAGGTGAAAAAACTGAATAATAGATTACATATCATCATTACTCATTTTCATAAAGACATCTACGAGTAGACTCGGATACTATATATAGAATGTAGAATGCAGCACAGTAGATAGTAACAGATATGATTTCTAACTATTTGAAATTTGAAATATACTCGAGTATTCCAGCTTTTTTTTTTCTTTTTTTCTTTTTTTCTTTCGAGATGGTTTATGTTACTATACTAACTATATCATATACTATATCCCATATCTCATATCCCTAACTAATTCCAGAACGAAGTATCTTCAGTTTGATATACTAGTCCCCTAACCCCTAACACCCTATCCTATAAACATAAACATAAAACCCGATGAAAAAGCTGAGTTTCCTAAACTCGATACTCTTAGCTATCATCCCCCTGCAAGGTTCCCTGTCAATCACATACCCATACCCATCTCTATTTACAAACCTCAAACCAATCATCCTCTACTCCTCCACCCATCTACTCCTCATCCTCATCCTCAGTTTCCCAAATCGTATCCAAACTTGTCCATACCATATTCAACTTTATTACCCTTTTATATCCCCAAATCAGATCTATATCCTTCTTCTTTTCCTCCTCCTCATCCTTGTATGCCCAATTCGCATCCAAACCCCTAACCATATTCATATCCGACTTTGTTTCCTCCTCCCCACACTCCCAAATTGTATCCAACCCCTTATCTTCGTTATTTTGTCCGTTTGGTGTAGTGTTGGCGGGGAAAGCATCAGTGATGGTAGGGGGTGAATGCTCGGAGTTGATAGATCGGCCCCACCAGTGATGACAATCGTCCGCACGCATTTTGCCGTTGTCAATCAATGCGAGTGCGCGTTCCGCGACATCGTCATTGTTGAAAAAGGCATATCCATCTAGCAGGATATCAGAGCCAGCAGTAGTAGCATGCGAGCCACCGGAGAGCCACGCCGATTGTCTCGAACGGGTATGGGTGATTGAAGGGCGGCGGAGAACGCAGGAGCGGAAGGTAGGAGATGCGAGGATAGCTTGAGCCCAGCCGTTGGAAGAGGTGGTGGAAAAGCACATGTTTGCAAATTTGGTTATGTTGATGTTATGAGAGATTGTCGAACCTTGAGGTAGAGAGTAACAGGATTGATTTTTGTTAAAATATGTACACGAAAGAAAAATTTATTAGTGTCAAGTACAGTTGTCAGTAGACATGAATGTACGCATATGGCATCTATGTAATGCAGTACCGGTACTGACTTTTTGGCAGATCGAAGACGTTAAGCTCTTGAAATGGCATAAATCAATGTCAATCGGTGGCCACTAATGCTAATATAGTGTAAGAAAACCTTGGTCTCGTCAAGAAATGGTTTAGGCGAGAAAGAGTAGGGAGAGCTATTGGACTTTTGATCCAATGAGATGACGAGGTTTTCCCACTAGAGGATTTTCCATGAACTTTAACACTACCAAGTTACTGGACTCTAGTACAAGTACCCCGATCTCGCACTTGAAAAGATTTTTAAATACAGACACAGAAAATAGTTTTTCCAAAACGCACACAGACCAAAACAACACAAACAAATAGGAATCATGGATGTAGCACACAAACGAGAGTCTTGGGACACTAGACCCGAAACAACGAAGGAAGAGGAGAGGACATTGAGAAAGCCCTGGACCGAAGATTGGCTTCGAAATCAGTCTGAAATATTAAAAGACAGACAGTACCGTTGGATGTTTGAACATCGTCCAGCGAGACGATTTCGTATAACGATAAAGGAGGCTCTACTCAAACCAGTAGACCCTTCCTTGCCAAAACGTAACAGCATGAATGTTCGAGAGCGTGGTACGTAATTCATCAGAAAAATGCCTATAACTCTTATGTGATACGCATACCCCATACCCCATACCCCATACCCCAAGCCGCAATTGATGCTAATATATCTTCAGCCGCCGCCATAATCCGAGAGGAACTGTATTTTTACCCTCCTGTCATGGAACAGATTATCCAAGGAATCGACCATTTTGAATCCTGGAACCGCGACACGGCACGCGAATACATCAACAGAGCTCAAAAAGAGATCGACGAGGAGTGGAAAAAGGCGGATGAGTGGGAGGCGGAGGTGGAACTTGCGAGAAAGAATAAGGTGGAAAAACATCCTTTTAGGGAGGCATGGGATGATCTCTTCCTATTGTGTAGGGCTGGATCGGAGAAGTTAAAAAGAATGCCCGGTGATGTACGAACCTTTAAGTTCTTATTCGAGAAGAAGAGACGGGAGGAGTATGTGCAGTCGATGGCCTGGTTTTTGAAGGCGAAACGTGATGCGATTGTGAGAACATTTGAGTTCTTATGGATGAAGGGTGGGGAGCAGAAGGCGTGGGAGGAGATGAGTTGGCTGGAGAGATGGATGGTCACGATCAATGGACCATGCGGAGGAACACAGGTTCCTTGGACGAGACATGTAGAGAAGAAGTAGATGATAAAGGGTTGATAATGTATTGTAATATGAGGGTATAAATTTGCGAAACCAAGACAACAGAGATGAATAAGCTTGGAAGCATTTTTGTTGAATAACATTTCATAGTCAGCGCTCCGCATCCTCGCCAAAAAAAGGACCCATAACTTTTGCACAATATCACCAAACTCCATATCTGATATGATGCCAATCCTATTTTTATCAATACACATGATCCCTCTCTCATACCTTCTTGCTTCTCTTCTTCCCCACTGTTACCTTTTTTGCTCCAGAAGTCCCAACTTCCCCGCTGCTCTCCTTCAGTAATGCCGCCCACTTATCATCTATACTCTGGTCCACCTGTCCTTCTTGCTCAACCTTCTTCTCTTTCTTAACCACTCTCTTTTCATCGACAGCTCCAATCACCGAGATATTACTGGCCAACATCTCCTGAAATGGCTGCACAATGAACTGTCCCTTCCCATCAAACCATTCTCTAAATGGTTTCCTCAAAGTTCTCTCTTCCTTTGGTTGTCCAGATCTGCCCTTTGCCGCTTCATAAATCTTAAATGTCAAGTTGTAAATTGGTTGATGCTTTTTGGTTTGAGTAGATATCTCAATAATATGTTTCTTGTCTGGGGATGTGCCGATGTATATGATTCCTCCCTCAACATAGAATAACCAAAATGTGAGGAATGAATTGAGGATAAAGTAGATTCCAACAGCGATGGCTGTATATGACTTTGTAGGTTCGAAGCCGTATGTATAGTCCCAGTAGAAGCAGGCACCACAGACCAAGACAGAGGCGTAGCCAATGGCTAGACGGGTATCAGAGAGAGTATGCGACTGGGTGAATTTGAGAGAGTTGAGGTAGGTGGGGAGAGCATCGTCGGAGGTGTTTTTGAGGTCTAGAATTGGCTGTTAGTATTGTAATGTTTAGATTATTCTTCAAGATAAATGCGTATACTGACCAGGAAGAGAATGCACAGATATTCTTTCTGAAGCCATGATAAATTTATTTACTCTTTGTCAGAATTATGTGGAAGGGAAAGCTGTTGCCGCAATATGTATAAAGAGAACGTGTCTTGATAAAGCTTCCTCGGAAACGATCCGAGTTTAGCGTGGAAAGCCACATTTGATGTCAGATTCAACCACAGACCTAGATTTCATTTCGCGACAACCCGCTCATACATAATCTTTCGCAACGAGGCAGATAAACCAGGAGCTATTGAAAATATGGCACAAGTTCCTGTGCAGACGATCCATAGGGATCCCCAGTTATTGTGAGCATGTCGCTGCTGTTTATGGTGAATTGAGCTGATAGAGATGTAGCTACTGGATCTTGATACCTATTACTATTGTTATGGTATGTATATACTCGGTCTTCTGAATTCACAGTGCTAATTCGGCATTAAGATCTTGACTGGTATTCTCCGTCACTATGCTACCGTTCTTATGGCCACCACTCCCAAGAAACAAGAGCTCCCAGCTATTCGCGAACAAAGATCCCTAATTCGAGGCATAAACCTCCGCAACAACGCTCATGTCCTCACTCCTGCAGCTTTTCAACCACGCAAAGACTATCTCGTACAAGCATTTGAAGAGGGGAAGTTTTTGAAGGATCCAGAGAAGAAGGGACAAGCAGCTCCAAATCCTATGACTGATCCAGCGGCTATGGAGGGAATGATGGGTATGATGAAGGGGAATATGTCCATGATGATCCCGCAAACTTTGATTATGGGTTGGATCAATGCATTCTTCAGCGGATTCGTTATTAGTGAGTTGATTCCCGGAAATGGTTGATGGCTGGGTGTACTGATGTGAAACGTATAGTCAAATTACCATTTCCCTTGACGATCAAGTTCAAGAGTATGTTGCAAGCTGGAGTCGCTACCAGAGATATGGACCCACAATGGATGTCTTCCATTTCTTGGTATGTTCTTTGTATCTTTGGCTTACAATCCGTATTTAACTATCTATTGGGAAGCGATAATGGTATGTCAATTTCCCAAGCTTGCCCATATGAGGAAATACTAACTAAGCATAGCTGCGAGTCAAATGGCTCAACAAATGGGTCAAATGGGTCCAGGAGCAGGTGCACAAATGTTTGGCCCAGGTGTTGACCCCGACAAACAATTCAAAGGCGAGGCCGAGAATTTATCTGTGTTAGCTCACAAGAGTACATTAGAGGGCGTCGAACAGAGATTATTGGAAAGCGTGAGGGTATAGATCTGGATTAGAATTTCTGATTAGTAGAAGTGCTTCCTGTTGAAGTCAACAGTGCTTGATCATTTGCAATGCTTCCATGAGATACCCTTTAAGTCGATAATGGTTGTTGAGTGAAGGGGCTCTTGAGAGGCGGGAAGCAGCGCCCTTTATTTTAAATTTATTTACGCTCCCAATGAGTTGACAATTATACGAATATATCTTTAACATTTCATAGTCCAGTCGAAAGGTACCTATTTGTTCTGATGATTTTCCATTATTTCTAGAGGTGTGTAAAGTCACATGAGTGACCGTGTCGTTCTTTCCATCTTCAAGACTTCGCTTCCCATAACCAAATTGGAAGGCACGCTTGCTCATTCCCCGCACTTTTGATTTCAAACTTCCTCTTCAATTCTCATCTCTTCATCTTCTTCCATCATCTACCATCCATCATTAATCGTCCAATGTGGTGGGTTTCATCATCCCAATAATTGGATGTCCCTCGTCAAGTGTATGAGAAATTCATCTTCACCTTCATGTATCGCTCTGCATCGTTGGATATTCCCAGCGATATGGAAGACATGCCTCCGCCTCCGCCTCCGCCTCCGCCTCGTAAAGCTACAAGCAGAGTTTCGACACCTGTTTTGAAGGTGTCACGTCTTATTACCGAGTCTGAATATGCCCTCGGTGCTGCTAGTAGGGCGCACTGTGCGGCGGTAAAGGCAAATGTTGATGGCAAAAAGGCATCCAGGGTAAGGGTTTTGTCTCTTGATTTGCCTATGCTAAGCTTACCAATTGCGCCAGGCTCCTGATATCGATGCTAGTTCCAATGTTGATATCGACGCTACCGAGGCGACGAATGCTGGCGCAGATGAGACTTCTGGCAAGAGAATGGCGAATGGGGTCGATATGCGACCTTTTAAGAAGAAACGTCTTTTAGGGTGAGTATCCCTTCGTTAAACCCCTTTAAAACGCATGATATTGAATAGTTGCAGTTCTCTCACTGAGATGGTGAAATTGCTTGTCGGGAGCGAAGCCCGCCCCGAAACGATACTCGTTCACAAAAACCTCCTCTGTGCAGCAAGCCCTTTTTTCGAAGCAGCTTGCAAGCCCGAGTGGCAGGTTGATGAGGAGTGTGTTATTGTCTTGCCCGAAGATAAACCCAAACTCATTAAGCTTCTTGTGTACTGGATCTATAACCACGAAATTGTATACTTGGCTAGCTGGAAATCTCTCGAGCTCACGAGAGCCCTTATCAACACATACATACTGGCCGAAAAGTACCAAATGCCGCAACTACAAAACGATATCATCGATGCCATGGTGTATGAGATTGTTGAAATGGGTAATTACATATTCTCACCAGACAGCACAATGATCTATGATAATACACTTCCAAGCTCTAAGCTTCGCCTTCTCGCCGTCAATTTCGGACTGTACAAACCACACCGTCTTTATTTAGATCTATTCGGTCAAGAAAGAATTTCCAAAGACTTCGTCTGGGAATTGGCAGTTTCATTTTGCAAGGACGAAGCTGCTGGTGGAAAGACAGAGAAATTCTTAACCTCCAATAATCAGCACTGTGAGCTGTATCATGTACACGAGGATGAGCAGCAAGGGATGTGCACTGTCCTTAAGCGTCCACAATATGATGATCCGGAATAAGAAATATGTTGTCTCATAGTCCCCGAATATGAACATTAGCTTAGCAACATTTCTTTAGTATTTAGCTATTCTTGACAATTAGTTCAATTTTACACATCCGAATTCGCTGACCTAAGCTTTCCATATTGGCACACAGTGCATCGCAGGGCATCAAGTGACATAAGACTATGTATCGTCTGGTTGTGCAAGTTAAGCGCCCGTGGTCTACACACATCTGAAAGCATTTTGTGATTCCATATTTTGGAAAGAAAGAAGGCTCTTCCATATATAGTGCCACATAACTCTATTTTGCCTTGCCCGAACTCCAGACACCTGATATATTGATATTACTGCACAAAGTGGCAAGGAATCATGCCTTCTTCGACCTCTTCACAGGCTCATCATCACTAACGATATCATCAACTTCATCACCACCCTCATCGTCATCAGCCACATCTCTGCTTCTCTTCAAACCCTTCATCTTTCTAGTTTGCAACTCCTTCAGATCCTGTTTACCGAGATGTATTCTGCCCATCTTATCACCAACAATATCCGTAGTGATGTTCTTCTTGGGTCTCTCCGCGCTTCCTCTTGCTCTTCTCATTGCCTCCTTCATTATGCTTTCATCTGCTTCCTGGACTCTGCCAACTCTGAAATCCATCCTTGGGCCCATCTCCTCGACCTCGACTCGTGGCAACTTTTGACCACTCTTCTTCGTTCGTATTAAGTATACTCGTAAATGAATCTTTGGCTTCGCCTCTTCTCCATCTACACTATCCCTGGCTGAGATAGACACAATATATTGGAGACCCTCCACATCAACTTTGTCCGCAGGCTCTCCCTTGAAGAAATCGAGGAACATCGATTTCGCAAGAGTATATTCGTCGGTGACTGGACTCTCGAAAGGAGTACCCGAGAAAAGAATCAAAGGCTTCAATCCGACGGCGCATTTCTTGTTTTTGAACTGGCTCAAAGATCTGTATGAATCGGCATCAAGATTCAACTCCAACAAATCCAAAACCTTATAATTGAACATTCTGCTGAAAGTGATGGAATGTGGTCGTTTCTTAGATGAGGAACCGAAAACTAAGAGGGAAGCATCGTTCTTTTCGGAGAAAAACTCAAGGGAAGTGGGATCGTCGAAAGGATGAATGTTATTCTTCTTGGTGAACTTCTTTGCGAGAGGTAAATGAAGAGTATGGAGATCTGTGAGACAGTCTTGAGTAGGTTGCGAACATGTGGTATAGCGGAGGAAGAGGGCTGTTTTGGGGTTCTCGACAGGCTTGGGTGCTTTTTTTGTGAGAGCGCGTTTGCTGCGGGCATTACGGGGTTTGCTAGATAATTTTGTCAATTTGAAAGATTCAATTGGTATTGTAAATATGAGTGGGAGGGCTTACATTTGGCGCAACATGATGAATTGATGTGATGTGGTATTATGTAGTTGTTGGAAGGAATTGAAGATATCAACAAATGCCTTCTTTCCTTCTTCAAGCTCGAACTTTTTTTTTGCGATCCGATAATAGATAAAGCACTAGCGCCAAATTTACTCCATGAGGCATAAAGTTTGAATGCCTGAATCTCACATGCAAAATGCAACCTTGCGGACCTGAGCGGACGCTAATAAAGAATCCCTGTACTGAAGTCTGTGGGGTAGCGAATTTCCGAATTCATGTTCCTATCCATAAACATGCCGAGCTTCATTCCTGAGTTTACTTTCCCATTTACTGACTTTGTTTCTTGATAACTACATCTGCGATTTGAATGTTGGATTGAACAGCTACGGATGAAGATACTGAAATAATATTTGCCATATCTTTCTTTCTTTATTTTAGAAATTTGCTTGATTTGGGGGAATACATAAGTTGCCGAGGTTCATTTTCCGTGCCGACAAGATGGAAGGAAGAATTGCTGTTATAAAGGTATAAATCAGCCATTATCATCCTAATTTTCGTAGATATACTGATACGCAAACATAGACAGCACTCGAGAGCTTTATTCTCGATCCTAAAAATGCCGAATTTCTTGCCATCCTTAAAGCTGCTCGCAGCGGCGCTGTCTACGGCGCCAAAGTCAGGTTTCCTCATGCATTGGTGTAAGGCCCCCCCTTTCTGTTCTTCTTCTGCTACTTCTCAAGCGTATAACTGACTTGGCATTCTAGTATGATGTTTCTATTTCGATCTGGTACCGTCCGTGAAAAGATAGGGCTGATACTTCGCGCAACACGAACACATGCGCAAAATCTCGCGAAATATGCTACGATATATAAGACTACAATGTTGGCACTGAAGTACTCGGGGGGCAATAAGGGGCAGGAGGGAAATTGGGATACTTTTCTTGCAGGTCTATTAGGTGGATATGTAGTATTTGGAAGGAGGTCGAAGAAAGGTCATGTTAGTAGTGTTAGTAAACAGATTGTTGTATTCGGTATGTTTGTCCTTTCTTTTCCAGGAATCTGTGTCCGAACGATACACTAATTCGAGGCCGCGCACAGTATTCGCACGAGCCTGTTTGTCGTTAGCACAACTAGCCGTTCTCCCCTCAGCGGGAATCATCCGTAATATAGAACTCTCGAATCGAATATCTAACGATGCATGGCCCGTCTTCGCAGCGCTGAGTTGGGGGAGCATTATGTGGCTATTCAGGTGGTATCCGGATACGGTCCAAAGTGGGTTAAGGAGTAGTATGGATTATATTTATGTGCAGAGCGATCATTGGGATAGTCTGAGAAACTTTATTGTGCATAGTAAATAAAGGGGGGCTCGGAAGATGAAGGGGTAAATTTCTACAAACGAGGAAGAATCTCGTTTGGTGTGGCTCCTGAAAAGGATACAGGGCAGCGCACAACACAAGATACCTAGGTATGGTTTTGGGTGCGGATTATAGATTGGAGATTATATGTTTGCATATTATATCACTGATGGCGATTGGAGATTACTTCGTACATGTTTGCATATAATATCACTGATGGCGATTGGATGAACTCCTGGTGTATAATTAGAATAATTCGCGGGCTATGGTCCTGAATATAATGGATGATATATTAATCGTTTCACAATGAGTTTGCAGCACCGAAGGGGGGATTATATTCAGCTCCAGTATATTACAGTAACTTACCTCGAGCTTACCTTACTCTTCCCGTCCCTCAATATCTCAGCCAACAGCCCATTGATAATCATTATCCAAAAATAGCATACTGTAGAAGAAGGGTGTTGTAGGAAGGAGGTGATCTGACACTTTGATTGGTTGGAGCGATCAAAAATACACGTTCTACTAGGACATATCCTTTGTCTTTCCCTCAGAAAGAATTTACCCTTTGTAATTATATTATAGTTGCGTCGTAAATCCAATATAAATGTAACATATCGTAGAATCAAAAGAGGCTTTCACATAGGTATAAGGGAAATCTTGGCGGATTAGATGGGGATCTCGGGCTAGTACCGACAATTGGGACCTCCACGAATTGGGGAAGCTGAAAACTAAGCCCAATCAAAATATTGACAAAGGCGACTTCTAGAACACTTCCCAATACTTTCCTCAATAGAAAAATCTTCTTATCCAGGGCTCTTTCCCTCTTTTAGTAGTACGCCGCTATTGAAATTGTAGATTGCTTAAAAGCAATGCGCATTTGAAATTGAGACAATTTCACATATGGTACTGGCGTTGCTCTGAACTCCAAGACCCACCAAAACCCCCGTACCCTCAGATATGGCTGGGCATACCGAAGATAACGCACAGCTCCTGTCAACAGAGCAGGAGTCTGTTTCGCGTAAATCGTCCGATTCTCTTGCCTCGACTGCTTCGACTACGAGTCTAGTTTTTGATCGCATCGGCGAACGTGTAGCTGCGAATGGGTCAGAGAAACCGACGATGGTAACACCTAAGTTCCCCCCGCGTGGGGAGATGGCGTATGCGGACGATGAACATACGCAGATAAATTTAGAGGAGGAAGAGGAGAAGGATTACGATATGGAGGACGGAGCGTTCCTTACAAATGGATCGACAAACAAGTCGGTCGATAAGAAATTGAGGAAGTTGATATGGGTTATTGGGGGAGTATTCATTGGAGCGTGGGTGCTGGCTCTGTTTATATTTTTGGGGAAACAGGCGTACAAACATTCATCGGAAACCCCTCACGATCCTCAGGCGACATCATCGAGAGGGAACGGAAAGAAAGTCACAATGGATCAGGTTATGGGCGGTCAATGGAGAGCGACTACACATAGTATCAGCTGGATCGAAGGAGCCAACGGGGAGGATGGATTGTTACTCGAGCAAGGTTCGGCCGGAAAGGACTACTTGATTGTTGAAGACGTCAGAACACAAAGTCCGGCAACTGTAGGAACCTTAGACACGATGACTTTGATGAAAAAGGGATATTTCGAAGTTGCGGGTAGAAGTTTATCACCAAGCAAAGTATATCCTAGCAAGGATTTGAAGAAAGTCCTGGTCGCGACAGATGTTCAGTCCAACTGGAGACATTCTTTCTATGCGAAATACTGGATATTCGACGTCGAAACTCAAACTGCGGAGCCACTAGATCCTGTAGATCTAGACGGACGAGTTCAACTTGCTAGCTGGAGTCCAAAGGGCGATGCTATCGTTTTCACTCGAGATAATAATATGTTTCTTCGAAAACTATTGTCACCAACAGTGATCCAAATCACCATTGACGGTGGACCGGAATTCTTCTATGGCGTGCCTGATTGGGTTTACGAAGAAGAGGTTTTTGCTGGAGCCAGTGCAACATGGTGGGACGACAGTGGAAAATACATTGCGTTCCTTCGTACAAATGAATCCGAGGTGCCTGAATACCCAATCCAATATTTTGTCTCAAGACCTAGTGGGAAAGAACCTTTGCCGGGAGAGGAGAATTATCCCGAAGTCAGAGAAATCAAATATCCCAAAGCCGGTGCTCCAAATCCTACCGTTGACCTTCTGTTTTATGATATTCAGAAGGCAGAAGTATTCGAAGTCAAAATCGCAAATGGCTTTGAACCAAAGAACCTTTTGATTACAGAGGTAGTTTGGGCTGGTTCGACAGGTAAAGCTCTGATTCGCGAGACTAACAGAGAAAGTGATATCTTACGAGTTGTTCTCGTTGATGTTGTTGCTCGAACGGGAAAGACTGTACGATATACAGATATTGAAAAGCTCGATGGTGGTTGGTTTGAAGTCTCTGAGGATACCCGTTATATTCCTGCAGATCCTTCAAATGGACGCCCCCACGATGGATATATTGACACTATTATCCACGAAAATTATGATCATTTGGGATACTTTACGCCCATGGATAATCCCGAACCTATACTTCTTACCTCTGGAAATTGGGAAGTGGTAAAAGCGCCTTCTGCTGTTGATCTCAAGAATAATCTCGTCTATTTCGTTTCTACCAAGGAGTCACCAATCACAAGACAAGTATACAGCGTCAAACTTGATGGTACAGGTTTGAAAGCGATCACCGACACCTCGACGGAAGGTTATTATGGAGCTTCATTTTCCAAAGGAGCTGGATACGTACTTCTCAATTATAACGGTCCAAACATTCCGTGGCAGAAAGTTATCAGCACTCCAAGCAACGATAACCACTATACACATACCATTGAGGAGAACAAAGGGCTGGCTGATATGGCAAAGAAACACGAATTGCCTCTTCTGATTTACCAGACTGTCACTATCGACGGATTTGAATTGCAAGTTGTTGAGCGCCGACCACCTCACTTCAACCCAAAGAAGAAGTACCCAGTGTTATTTTACCTTTATGGTGGTCCCGGCTCTCAGACTGTTAGCAAGAGCTTCAGTGTTGACTTCGAAACTTACATTGCCTCAAACCTTGGTTACATTGTTGTAACTGTTGATGGCCGTGGTACAGGATTCATCGGACGAGAAGCCCGAACCATTATTCGTGGTAATATTGGACACTATGAGGCACGTGATCAGATCGAAACTGCTAAGATCTGGGCTAGCAAAAAGTACGTCGATGCATCAAGAATGGCTATTTGGGGTTGGTCATATGGTGGTTTCATGACATTGAAGACTCTAGAGGAAGATGCTGGAGAGACATTTTCTTACGGTATGGCTGTGGCACCTGTCACTGATTGGCGATTCTACGATTCTATCTACACGGAACGATATATGCATACGCCTCAACACAATCCTGGTGGATATGATAACACCAGCATCAGTAACATGAAGGCACTCTCCAAGAATGTCCGATTCTTGGTCATGCATGGTGTCGCGGATGATAATGTGCATATGCAAAGTACGCTCACTTTACTGGATAAGCTTGATCTTGCCGGTGTAGAAAACTATGATGTGCACCTTTTCCCAGACAGCGATCATTCTATATACTTTCATAATGCGAACAGAATTGTTTATGATAGTAGGTCATTCCTATAGCCTTTGACGGGCTCAGCTACTAACTGTTCGCAGAACTTAACAACTGGCTCATTAATGCATTTAATGGGGAATGGTTACGTACTGCAAACGCTGTACCTTTAGAAATCGATTCGGCAAAAGTATGAGATATTAAGACAAGTAGATAATGAGATCAGAGAGTATCATAGGAGCAAGACGTTCATCACGGATGGGGAGATTTTGAACATAGACATGACATTATAGTTTCATTGTCGTTAATTATTTTTATTTAAAATATTACAATTTATCATCTCCAGGGCCCGAGCCTACGAAATACCTTTTTTTTTTTTTCATGTTTAGCATAATGTGATACAGAAAATTTACCAACGCCAAATCAAATTGAAAAGCGGAAATGGATATGAATAATGAGAACCAGCTCACCAAACATTCATTTCACCCCACACAAAATCACATTCGTCACTCACTCACTCACTCACATTTCTCATAGCTCAATCATCAAATCCTTGCAAAGGACTAAAAGATCGAATCCTCGAAAGCATCTTCAAACTTCGCGAGGGTCTCAGAGGTCGCACGCTTTGAAATTGCACGTCGTTGACGGTGCGTGGAGGTGCTACTTCGGAGCGGGATCGGTGATCCTCGTGTGGTTGGAAGTCGTATTCTTGGAAGTCGTGTTCTTGGAAGTCGCGGATTCGTTGGGTTTCGAGTTGTTGACGCTCGCGGACTTGACGTTCTTGTTCTTGGCGCTCACGTTCCTGACGTTCACGATCTTGACGCTCACGATCTTGTTCTTGACGTTCTCGTTCCTGACGTTCACAATCTTGACGTTCTCGTTCTTGACGTTCTTTGATTCGCTGTTGGATTTCTTGCAGAGCCCCACGTCTTTCGCGTTCTTCAACTCGTTGTTGTGGCGTGGGAACGCGGAGAGGTGGTGGGATTGAGACTGGTCGCATATCGTAATGTGCGGGAATTTGGGCGAAGGACACAGCGCTGAATGTCTCTACCTGTGGTGATGGACCAGGCAGGAGATATTTTGAGTGTGATGATGTGGCCGATGAAGGGGCTGAGCCGGTGTCTTGGGGTTGAGTAGAAGCGGATGCTTCCAGTGGGATGTGGAGTTTGGGTGGCTTGATTGGTGTGAGTGGTGACACCATTAACAATTTATGTTGAACTTGACTTCTTCGTTTGATACCCTCTGGAACCAAACAACTTGGTGTTCTCGTCGGTGTTGCTTGAAGCGATGAAGCTCGCGGTGCAGGTGGAATTCCCAATCGGCTGATCCGACGACGGTTGTTCCATGCTGATGGTGGCAAAGCGATCGTGGCCCGGTCTTTTGGTCGTGATCTTCCACCGGGGGTAAATCTTGGAGGTCTTCTATACAGACGCGCAGGAGTTTGATTTCTCCCCACACCAGCCACCAAACAGAGGGGAATTCCGCCTCGTTGACTTGACAAATCTTGTCGATTCTTCACTTCCACGCTGTGTTGCTTTGTGATGTGTTCGAAAAAGAGTTCGTTGTTTTGAGTGGGAGCCAGGGTTTCGGAAGTCCATTCTGGCAGGATGGGATCCTTTGACTGTGGAGTTGGGTAACATTCTGGAATCTTGAAGCTCATCTCTTCGATTATGTCTCGGGTGAGCAATCTGGTGGGACCCGATGGTTCTTGACGACGAGCAGGGCATGAAACGCAGGGGTTTTTCGCAATGATCTTTGTTTCGGTCGTTATGCATGGTGTGACGTTCATGAAAGGTCCAAATCTCTCGGCACATTTCTTGACTCGAGGTGAAGCCGCCACCTTCGAGCAGGTTGGGCAGAGAGTAAAGATCAAGTTGCACATTTTGAGATTCGAGTTGTCGAGTAGTTTCCGGTGGGTTTCTAAGTGTTTTATACAGGAAGTGGGGTGTTCATTATCGAAAGTTTCTCTCTCGTAGGGAACTCGGGTTGTGTTTGATGTGAGATTATAGAATTAAATGGAAATCGGCTGGAATGGAACTGTTAATATGCTCGAAATTGATCTGTTCAAGTGGCAAATCATTGTTCTGTTGCCTTATAAAATGACTAATTTGAGGGTTGCGATACTTTCCTGTTCAATATCAACAACAACTGCCTATAATCGAAGGACAAAGAGGTTCTTTGTTATTGAGATCATAGCAACAAGAGATTCTCAAACAATAGCGATTGTTCCTCTCAAAATAGCACATAGTTTATATATGGCACAAAGAAGTCTTTGAACTGGATTTAGATGACCAAGTGCCTTTGTGGCTAAGTCTACAAAGGATACCTCAGCTATAAAGGTTGAACAGCAATCCACGAACAATCCAATTGTCAAGAACAATCGTCTCTACAGTACAGTACTCTCATTACACATTCATAACTTCGATATACGTGTTCTAATATCAACAACATTTGGAAAATTTACCCTGGTGGTAACTTCAATACAGTTTAATACATTTCATCACACTACATTAAAAAAAAAAAAAAAAAAAGAAAAAAAAGGTAAGCTCAATATCCATATAGCTCTAGCTAAAGAGTACTGAACTATCTTCAATCACCAAAGTTTCAATCAAATTCAATCTCACACAATGGCAACAAGATCCAACACCCCACACCCCAAAGACAAGAGGGCGCTCCCTTGCCGCCGCACAGGCTGCCTAACCTGCGACGAAGGCTATATCGACTTCATCCCCCCACCCCGCGACCCAAGTCTTCTCCGCCAATATTTCCGCCGCCGACCCTTCGGCGCCCCCAAACCAGCACCCCTCCACGTTCTCGACTCCCTCAACCACGCCGATATTGCGTGTCTCGCTCCAGCCGTCGTCCCTGGCCAAGGAAATTATCCCTTCCTCACTGATTTCCAACGGAAAGGATTCGCACGCGGTCGTGGGAAAAGAGGTGGCTTCGGTGTTCCTGATGATGATGATGATGATGATGATGATGATGATGATGATGAAGGATGGGGAATTATGTTTATACCTATTTTTTTCAAGAGGGGGGCTATTGGTTTACTGGCTTATTTGATTGGATGGTTGGGAATACTAGGGGTGCCTGCAATTTGGCTGTTTGAGTTCATTACTTCTGGTCCTTTTATTCCCGTTTTTACGGTATGTTATATTTATTGGTGGCTTACTAGTCCGGCGACATGAGCGTTGAAGTTTCTCTTAAGGAGGTAGGTAAGTTAGTAGATAGGTGGGTCTTTTGTTTTCTTTTTTTCTTTCTCTTTTAATTTATAATATATAATATTTCTTCTCTTATATCTTGACTTTTGGTACGCATTGTGTGGTTGTGATATACAACTATGGAGGGGGATACATTGTTTAGCCTGTGTGGGATATCTTGAAGACTTTGGAGAAGTTTATATAGCATGCGTTCATTGTCATACGAAATCCAGCCTATTCTCAGTGGTTACCAAGATGTAAGCTACACATTCGCCATAAGTCTCATAATTTCCTATACCCTTCGTCCACACATGGATATCATCTACTGGATGTAGAACAACAACAGAGTGCCGTAGTTGTTTTCTTCACCACGTCATTCATCCCCCCTACTGTTCGCGTTCCGCCCCCCTTCCCAGATAGGAGTCTTTTATGAAACCCTCAAGTAACATGGAAACTGGGCCAGAAGACTAATCGCACAGACACTCTCATCCACTCTAATTTTCGAACCTCCCAACAACGTCACGCAGGACATTGCGCAATCCTCTCTCTAAGATCTCGTTCTTTCCGCTCCAGCTCTTCTTTCCGTCGTTCACAATCTCGATATTGTTGCAATGCGTAATTCTATTTCATATACGGTTATATCAGTCACGCGCAAAAACCCGATAGCGGAAACGAAAATCCAAAGGAAGAGAAGGAATCATTTGGAGAATACATACAGCTTCAGCTTGATTGCCCGAGTTTATATGTGCGGTATACGCACTCCAAAGTAATGCCATGCCACCAATGACATTCCCGAGCGAACCGAGAATCCCATTGAGTGCTTGCACGAGTTGGCTGTAAGAATTCATTTGGGCGTAGGATTCTGTCATGTTGAATGTGACAGAGAGGAGGATTGTGGAACCTTTCTTTGGGAAGTTCGCGAAAGGAGAAGGGGTTGAAGAAGAAGGAGGTAAGAAATGTGCGACAGCTCTTAATTTATTATCTCGAATGTTTCATAAGGCTATCCAGACTCGCTGTACAACTCAGATGCAACCACGTTTTTGCATGTGCCGAATATAGTTCAAGCCAGTTTCTCGGCGCTGGCATGTTAGTGGGAGGTGCAGAACAATGAGTTGTTACTAAATTTTAGGCTGGGTAGGCACGCTGCCCAACGCACGCGCCTAATTACTTTGTGTGCAACTTTATTTTTGCAAGGTGTAGAGTAGAGTACATCTGGGGTAGGATATAAGGTTATTGGGTTGCTGAAATATCTTTATCTGGGGTACTGCCGATTACGGCCTTACTAATTTGCCTGATCAACCTGATACCTCCATTCTGAAACTTATGGGATTTAAGGTTAATGTACTAATTTGTTGTTTAGACGTCAGACATTTACTCAATCATGGACTTCCAGTAGATAGACAATTGTACTTTACATATGTAACTAGTAAGGTCGAGACTCCATTCGCCTAGCTTGACTGCTTCTGCTTCGGTTGATGATTGGTTCAAAGAGCTTTACGACAACACGATGTCCATGTATGCTGACTACTCATTACCCGTGATCTTCATTACAATGAGACTTCAAGGAAATGCCAGGCATTGGTGATTGGGTGCTTGCTTGCTTACATCAGCGTGACATATCCCACACTGATTGATATGCTGCAGCCAGGCAAGAAATCTGTCACGGTCAAGTGAAGATATCACATCACCGAAGGCTACGCTACAATAACAAGGTAAGCAAAATGTCGAAGTGCATACCATCATTCAGTGGCTTTTGAATTAATGTAAGGACAACTCTACAATTAAATGAAGGTATCTTCACTAGAAAATCCATACAACACGCCGCCAATTGGTGTGGAGTGAGGTTATCGTCGTCCTGGTCTGGCATAGGATTGTTAGGCTTTGACATCGTGGTTTTCAAGGTATATGATCGATATTCTAGGCAGTGGAAAGCTATAAGTTACGCAGCGCTATTCAGCCAGATAAAATACTATCCTGAAGAAATTTGGTGGCCAGCACACAGTAAAACAAGACTTGTGCCAAGAGGGATAGTATCACGTGACCTAGATGCACGGACTCATCCTGGAAGGGGTTCTCATGAGCTACAACCTCACAAAAACAACACAATTTGTTCCATTCATTCGTTGAATCATTGAAATCATATTACCATCCAGGTATAGCGCTAAATCAATATGAAGCAATCCAAAATACCGGTATTAAGAAAGTTGAGCTTCACGAAGTTTTGATGGCTCCAGCGCAGATTCTACATGGTGGTTCATCATCGGTGCGACGCTCCTCAAGAAGCACGCAGCTACTCCGTTTGCTGCAATAAGAGATGCCACAGCTATCCAAACATATTTCCACGCCTTCGCGCTCTCGTCGATAAGAATCGGTGCATAAGTATTAGCAGCGATTTCTGGTCCTACAAGCTCAGCATATTTATTATCGTATATGGCGGTGAAAATCGTAATGCCAATGATGCCTCCCAATGCACGGCAACTGACACTGACAGTAGCGGCTGTTCCAATCAGGAACGATGGAACTGATAATCCCAAGGCGACACCTGGGATGGTGGTGGTCACGGCAGTTCCGAGACCGAAGAGAGTGGAGAAGGCAAGTGCCATCGGGAGTCTGCTTGAAGTTACCGTGGCCATGAGACCTGTGAATAAGGCACACCAGAACAAGGCCCCGACCAACATCGAGCGGTATGACTTTGTTGAAGCCATAACCCACCCAGCGGGTAGGCAGCCGAAGGTGGATGTGATCAAATATGGCGAGAGAATGACGGCAATGCGGACAGCATCGTTGGAAAACAAATCATAGATTTCCTGAGAGTACAAGACGTTTACACCAAGAAGAAGCATGCCGTCGACTGTGCAGACAAAAAGTAAGATGGGGAAATTCATGGTTTCGAAGAGTCGATGATCAAAGACTCCCTCGGTGACGACGAAAGCCTCATAAAGTCCAAAAAGTAGGAGACCAAAACTTCCAGCTGTGACAGTTCCAATAACTTTCCCCGAGCTCCAAGCGTAGGTAGTTCCACCCCAGGTGAGGCCAATTATGAGGGAAGCGAATGATCCTGACATGAGGAGAATTCCGATATAATCGATTTCGCTCGTGATACTCTTCAGCATCTTGTGGCGACCGAGTCTAGGAGGAGGCGGGAAATATGCAAGGCAAATAGCAATTGCTGTAACTCCATACATAATCCCATTCAAATAGTACGCCCAACGCCATCCACCAGCACCTCCAGTATTAATTTTGACGAAAAAGGCAGCGAGAAACGTGCCAAGAACGACGAAGGCGCTAGCCATGGCTTGAGAAAAGCCTATAGCCCATGGACGGTGTATGTTCGGCATAATCTCCTGGATTGCTGAGATCGAAATAACCTGTAGAGTTATTAGTCCAGGCGAACTCATACAATGTGGAGTTTATTTACACAGCCAGCATTGGCAGCTCCAGACAAGATATTGCCTCCGATAATCTGATGGATATTTTCTGCTTTTCCCGAAATTACACTTCCTACTACACCAATAATGGCACCACAGACCATAAACCACTTCTTTCCAACCCTATCACTCAGGCTGCCAAAGATTGGACCCAGAGCAAGAACGACGAGGAAGCTTCCGTTAGCAATCCATGATGCAAGAGCTGCGTCGGCAGGGCCTTGAGCAACCGATGCAACCTGGAATTTGATGACTGTATTGGCCTGCATACCAACAACATTAGTTACCATCCATTGAGGTAGAACTGTTAGAGGAACATACGGTATTGGCTAAAGCAGCACAAGAGTTCGCCATAGAAAGGGATATGAGAGCCAGAATGGTCTTCCAACCTAATTGGTAGACACTACCAGACTCCTCCTCATTTCCTTGGACCATAACAACATGATGGCCGTGATTCTGTTGTTGAATAGCCTCTCGCTCGTTATACTCCACAGTATCGATTTCTGCTTTGAAATCTGACATGATGGATGAAGAATGGAATGACAAGACGTAAGTTATTTATTTGCGTCTCCCCCAAACTTCATATACCGGCACTTGGGAATCTTCAAGTATCAGTGATAAGGCAGACTTATAACCCCGTGGGGAAGTGGACGGACCGTTTCAACTTCCTAAACTAATCGACAGATTTATCATCGGGATAGGGGGTACCCCGTACGCGCGGACTAGATCCATTCCGTCCACCATGCATGCTGGTAATTCCGACAAATAGTAAGATTTTGCTTGTCCAAGATCTAAAAGACCAATAGTCCACTTCTGGGCAGCTGTCCGAGTTGTACACTAGGAATACTAGATCCTACACGAGTGTGGGGGCCTAGCATTTTCTAGCGGATGTTCTCCTGATGGCCGAGGGCTGTGATTCGACGACAGATTAGATACGCCTAAATTACAGAGCGTGCGGATTGAAGCGACACTAGACTGTTAAAGTGTCAAATCGTTTATCCACCAGAATGGTCCGTGTCAAGCTTACACCGCCATGATATCAGTATCATAGTAACAAACTTTATTATCAGACTAATATCCAAGGTCAACCACAAGCATTTGTGATTTTTGACTTAGGTGAAGAGTTTACAAAATTAGTTACCTCTTCCAGATCTCTTGTACAATCTACCAGACGACCTCTCAAAGCAAATCCCTTTCCAGCAGCCAAAAAGACACAAGTCCAAGCTGGCAAGTCAATGCTGAACTCTGGATGGGATTTGTGTAATTTGGCCATCATTTCAATCACATATGGTGCCTCTACTTTCGTTTTCTCTGGATAAGCGGTCTGATGCAACCCCGTTTTGATCTCACCAGGATGTATTGAAAATACCGAGATACCATTCTCCTGAAACCCAAAAGTATCCTTCTGCAACATATTCAATTCTGTTTGCAGAACACCAGCGAATCTTGTGATGGATGTCTTCGCACACGAGTATCCTGATGCCCATGGCAAGTCTGCACCTGCTGCTCGAGAACTTGTGAAAATTATCGTACCGGAATTGCGTTTTTGCATCGATGGGAGAACGATTCTTGTTAATTCTGTTGGTGCTTTAACGTTGATTTCCATTTGTTTCCACCATTCGTCTGCGTCTGTTATATGAAAAGGCATGAATGTATTTGTTCCGGCATTATTTATTAGGATATCGATAGGGCCGAGTTTGGTTGTGACCTAGTAGGTCATCAGTATTAGTATAAACATTTAAAGGGGGATCACACATTATTTCAGTCATACCTGTTCAACTAAGCGCTCTAGGTCAGATCGTTTGCAAACATCTCCAATGAACCTAATTACTTTCACATTCGGGAAGGATTTCGCAAGCTCTTGCGTAGTCTCATTGACTTGATACTGAGTCCTTCCTGTTATTGCGACAGAAGCCCCTGATCTTGCAAGAGCATATGCGATATGCTTTCCAATACCCCTGCCGCTTCCCGTCACAAGTGCCACCTTGCCGGTTAACGAATATTTGAATTGCTCGGGTTCAATCGAAGGATATATCGTAATTCTCTGCGTGAACTCTGGTTTCGACATTGTTCCAATGTTGTCTACCGGTATACTACCCTACTATTCAGGTGAATGCATGATAGAGTATCATCAGGGAAATAATAGATAAACGAAACTACTCGGCAAGTCCACTTTTGTGGAAATCAATTTGCGGTAAGTGGAGGTGGAGTGCGGGGTATTAGTCTGCTTCACGTCCACCCCCCCACACTTGTTGTTGACTTCGAGTTTCGGCAACTCGTATCGGCAACTGCCAAGTTCATCAACTACAATTAGAAGTGTGTACCTAGTTGAACTTCAGTCGTCGAGGAAATTCAACATCGACATTCAAATCTCACATGTCAACTCGCAAAATTTGAATGGCCATGTCTTTCGAGATCTACATCCCCTCAAACCTCACATTTCAAGATTACATTGCTGTTTCCCAATGTAGTAGAACTTTAGCCGACGGCTATGATCGAAATGTATTTATTGTAAACCCGCGAATTAGACAAGATATATTCACACAAACGTTTGTCTTAGGATAAAGCACGTCTACGAGCATCTCTCGCACCAAACGTCATAGTAGACTACACACTTGTGGTCCCCGATGGGGCCAACAGAAATCCACGGCCGACGCATTCGTCGAAGAATGTTTAGGCCCAATAAAGCTTGGGGTTAAGGCTCTCGCTACTCAACACTTGTTAGGAGCACCTTACTTTAAAAAAGTGACTGATGAGGAAATCGTGGTGGAGTGGCAGCAATTAGCAAGTCATGCGCGGAAAGTCGCGGGTGAGGATTACAGTCATCCGCACTGTAAGATTGGAGAGACCTCAGATGGCAGGTCATATATGCAACAGACGCTTGTGAAGGTAGAGGGACAGTGGAGAATTTCGGTTGTTAAGCCGGAGGTTATTTATCATACGGGGAATTTCAGGGCAGTTGGGAGGCCGGACGAGGTAGAATAATGTAACGGTTCTTGAGGTAATGTATCTTGATGCAGCGCATACCACTGACCAGATTTCTGGGTGCTAAGACCTAGAGACTTTGATCGAAAGCTTAGATTATATCTCTCGCTCTCAAAGGTAAAGTCCAAATCATCTGCGATCTATAGATCTGCCTTCAAGTCTCCCGGGAGATCCATTCACCATTGGAAATTGGCATCAATGAGATTACCTCCAACAAAGCCGATGCCAGTAAGCCACAACAGTGCTCTTATTATGTATCAAGACCCCCTCAGAAGAACGCGACACTTCTCTAAACGATCACCAAATTCCAAACTCGCCGCGCCCGCTCCATAGATTTTTGTGGACAGTTCCTTAAAGGATTGTGTCTAGCTCCGAGTCCACACTGCAGTAGCCTTCCTGTCAAGTGCCGGCTTGTTTCCTTGTACCAACTCTTGCGGCATAGGACGCAATTGCATTTTCAACTACTGGAATTCCTTCCTCCTTCTACACTCTTTTCGAGGGCAATTACAGTACATTCCACAAAGAATTGTAGTTGGAGTTCTAGCAGCCACATGCCGAATCCAAAACCCTTCATAATCAACTATATTCTTCCGAGCCCAACTTCCACGAGACTCAAATACACAGTCCAATCTCCAAACATCCTCAAACAATAAACCTATATACCCTCCTCCACAAACCGAGAAACCCTTATCTTTTCATACGATTTACCCATCTTGGGACAGATACTCATCGAGTCATTTTCCCCATCCCCAACCCCAGCATCTACAATCTCCGACTCGACCGTCCATAAATCCGCACATGCGCAGCCGCCATCTAGCACTACAACATTCGCTTTGGTCACGAACAGTAGACGCAGGATTCGCATCCACAAGAAAATGATATTAATAGCTTTCGTAGCGTCTGCTGAATCAATTTCAAAGTGTGAAATGGAGTAGATGATCATGATTGGGACGAGGAAACCAAACGTCGTATTTGAGATATTGAGGTGCATGGTCAGTTAGTATGAGATCTTTTTGCTTTGACTGTGTAGAGAGAGGCTTTGTGTTTGATAGATTGGGTAATCGATTTCATATCATACAAGTACCTCTTTTTCTTGAATTTCAAGCTTTTATTATTATTTTGTTGATACTTCTTTGCTGTACCGGTAGACTGCTGTAGTACCCGCGATACGGTTCCATGAGCAACTGCTGCCGTAGTTGGTTGCTTGCGTTGAATATCATGGTACGTCTTCGATAAATCCATGGGCTCCGTCATCTCCTTTGCATTACTATTCCTCCACACACAGCTCATCGCTAGAGGTGTGCTGGCGCGGAACTACAGAATTATGCACAGTTTAACTATAAACGAGTGACTATCGATCTAAAATCCCCTGAATTTATTATCCATTCCATCAAGATGAGAATTGGATCATCGAGACGCCTAGCAGTTATAGCACGTTGATATGCAGCAGCAAGGACATTGTCAATGGTGCAAATATCGACTTGGCGAGACTACCAAACCAAAGCGGTATTTGGTTTCTGGCCACCCAGTACCTGTAAACTTTACTCTGGCGGCTGATAGATCCTCATCGATCATTGCTTCTGCGATGCTACATCCGGCTTCCGTGCAAAACAAGCATGCTGTACATATACGAAGGAAAAAAAAAAACATGTATGTAGCAAAAATGTAGAAGAACAGTGCAAAACTTATTGGGAAGTGATATCTAAGATTGAACAATCGCCCAGTCTCATTAAAGTTTAAAAACAAAACACTATGAATGAGATCGTCAAACTTCTTCGTATCCTCTCTTTAAAGCTCCCTTTGATTTTACAAGAGGCTAGATGATATTCCACATGTGTAAGTTTTCCAAATGGAAAAAGCTGTCAATCTTCGAGGATAACGGGATATATCCCAGGTAGGTACGACATTACAGATGAATCCATTCTCCCAAACAACAAAAGTCCTCATTGTCTGGATGCAATCTGGACTATTGAAAATCCTGGACTCCGTGGACCCTCGAAAGTGCTGGAGCACATCCTTAGATATGATTCGCATACACCTCAGTTTGAGGAAGATCTCTACTCCTCTCCCACACTTTATGGGGATCGCTTTCCATCCTACCGGTGTCAGGGTTCTTAATATCCCAACTGATATATCTAGCATGAGTACGAAGAAACTCTCTATCGCGGTCTTGGTACTGTTCGGCCATTACTCGATAACGACTCAAAAAGACATCAGAATCAATATAAGCCCCCTTCAACCATCTCTCCCCAGCCGATGTATCAAACTCTTTCCTGCCATGAAGCACTCGTCGGTTGTTGAAAATAACGCACTCCCCCTCTTGTAATCTGTACTCATACACGTTTTCAGGTGCCTCTACTCGAGATGCAAATTGCCTCAAAGATTCAGCTATATTCATGAGTTGGAATTGATCTAAAAATGCTGCTTGAAATGGTGGCGAATAATTAACAGATCCGATAGATCTTTCCGGGTGTAGATTTCCAAATTTTGGTCCTCTCGTTAGTACAGTGCGTCTTTTTGTATAATGTTCGCCGGCGTTGCGATAATGATAACCGACTGGATGGGTGCACAACTTCAGGAAATCATATTCATTAAGCTGTGCGGCAGCCTTAAAACCATCGGAGAAGATGGATGAGCCACCCGAGCAGGTATTTCGTAGACAGTGAAGAAGCTGAAGTCCCGGGGGATTAGCCATATACAGCAAATCCATGTGCAGCCCCAAGTTTTGAGATGTATATGCTACATTCTTAGCCTGAGGAACAGATTTGACGTCCCAGGTAGCTCCATAGAGAGTGTCCCGAAGGTTACCGATACGTTTTGCAATATCCACTACTGATGTTTCTGACTCTGGCACGTTCCTAAGGATGAGGATTCCATAAGCCTGAAGCATGATCAAAGCTCGGAATAAACCTTCTTCGGAGTTTATGTAATCATCATAAGTTACATATTGTAATTTCTGAGCAATTGTTTGTGCATCCCACGCGGTTGGTCGGGAAGCCCCAGCGTGGGTTTTAAAGGGATGCGTCTCTTTCGACGAATAAGGGGGCTGAAAGAAGTTCTGAGAAAATGTCGAAACATGATCTGGTCCGTAGCCCGGAATGTCGTTTTCCCAAGATATATTTATATCTCCATTTTCACCCGGTAGAAGCGAGGCAGCTCTGATCTCAGAAGGAATGTCAGAAGTTTGAAAGTTCTTCTGTTTTGTAGAAGTATCAATGCATTTATCGCAGCCACAAGAATCGCGGAGGAACAAGGGGGGATAAGAGACACCGTTGAATTTTATGATCTGAGGACTAGATTTCTGGAAAAGATGAGGATGAACAAGAGAGGGGTTCAATTTAAGGCGAGATATCCATTCTTCTGAATCGCTACACTCGATAACTTCTGATATCTGATTTCAGGTTAACACAAGTATATGTTAAAAAATGACCTGTAGTAGTACCTTTGCTTGTAACATTTTTTCGAAAATAGCGAACTTCCCTTTTGCAAAGAACCTTTGCTGAACCCGAGAGACACGCGGCGTTGACGATAGAGTACATGATGTGGCAGTTCGACGACTGCAGTTTAGGCCAAGGCGGAAGGCACTCATATTCTCAATTGTATTCCCTTCGAATTGAGAGAAAGAGAAAAAAAAGGCGAGGAGTGAGTTCAACACGAGTCTCGATATCAAGATCAAGTCCTCTCAAAATAAAAGTCTATCGGTACTATGAGCCGAGGTGAATATGTAACTCCATACAGCATAAATACAAAAATATCACGTGAGTTAACTCACATGTGGGATTAGTCTAATTACGTAAGCATTCTTTTTATCATCGCAATGGTAAAGTTGCCTTGTGGCGCATTTTCCTGATTACTTCTTCAACTCATATTGATATTTATTCATTGAGAACGTCAGATGTATGTCTGAAAGCGCTGAGCATCTCAAGGATGAGGTAAGGGTGAAGGTCTTATATAATTATCACCTCTATGTCTTACAAACCTAAGAAACTGATAAATTATCTAGGGCTCCAAAACCCAATCAATGATAGCTGGTGCGACAGCTGGATTGATTGCTAGGTAAACATTCAATTGGTCAAAATCATGTCACTTCACACTCATACCTTTTACGCAGGTTCATGATCGCCCCCCTGGACGTTGTAAAGATTCGACTCCAACTGCAATCACATTCAGCATCCGACCCTCTCTCTCAACGGGATTTGCGAGGATCACCAATTTATAAAGGCACACTTCCTACGATCAAAAGAATCTTCCAAGAAGAAGGATTGCCGGGACTATGGAAGGGAAACATTCCAGCAGAGTTGATGTACGTTTCGTATAGTGCGATTCAATTCACGACATATAGATCGGTTACACTGGCCCTACAAGATGCAGCTGGAGAGCATAGAATGCCAGCTGCTGCTGAAAGTTTTATTGCCGGAGCATCTGCAGGAGCCGTTGCTACAACTGCCACTTATCCTCTGGATTTACTCCGCACAAGATTCGCTGCACAAGGAGTAGAAAGGGTATATACTTCTCTCCGAGCTTCGATCCGTGAAATCGCCATTAATGAAGGGCCAAGAGGGTTCTTTCAAGGACTTGGGGCTGGAGTTGGACAAATTATACCATACATGGGAATCTTCTTTGCTACATACGAGAGTCTCCGTCTACCATTAGGAACTTTAAACATGCCTTTTGGATCGGGAGATGCAAGTGCGGGAGTTATTGCTTCAGTCATTGCAAAAACGGGCATCTTTCCCTTTGATTTGATTAGGAAAAGATTGCAAGTGCAAGGGCCAACAAGAGAACGATACGTCCACAAGAATATCCCAGTTTACAATGGTGTATTCAAGACCATGCAACACATAATACAAAACGAAGGCTATCGAGGGCTTTATCGAGGGTTGACGGTCAGGTATGTATAGAAAAACAGCTTGGGACATTCTGGTGCGTGCTAACATCAATAGTCTCTTCAAAGCTGCCCCAGCTAGTGCTATTACTATGTGGACATACGAACGAGTTCTCCAACTTTTACTAAAATGGGAGAAAGCCCAAGAGAGTTCAAAGTGATAAGAGAGATTCCTTGAAGGCACAAAAGGGGTCAATGGAAGTTGTAAAATTATCACTATTACGGTGGTTTTAGTGTTACATTAGAATTTTAGACAATCATGGATCATAGATATAGGAAATAGAATAATAAGCAGTATATTTATATTATGGTTTACTGTGTAATTGAATGATATCTCAAGGGTGTTTCTATGAGTACCTCGGTAAGTAAAGGGATAGTTGAAACATTGATGGGATCGTCTTGGCTTGAAGTGCAAGTTGAACCATAACGCACGTGCATAATTGAAGAATGATACCGGTACCGGTACTTGTATCTCGGTCGTATCACAACTCAATATGGCTACCGATACTGCAGGAGGTGGAGATCTTCACAGAACTTGTAGAGGTATATCTTGAGTTGAATATCTCCATACTGTACTCGAGTACTTCCATTTAATTATTACAACTTTAAAGTATTTTCACTATCCTTTCTCACCAAGTCAAAAAATTAAAGCTTTCATCAATACCCCTCTTGCAAACTACGAGTAAAATCATTTCATTTGCATGTGATTGCCGATTTCAACAACACATCAATAACGAATCTCATCAAATCAATATGTCGACAATTATAACAACTCCGAGAATAGAACAATTACTAGCACCATTATTGGCATCTCTACCCGCAGCTTCAGTATCTCCCCAACCTCCCACTGCACTTCTCCCTTTACTATCGCCAATTTTACGCCAGAGAGTTCAAATCTTGTCTTCAACGTCGGATGAACCATGGCTTGGACTACTCTGCTATGATGCCTCAAACATTTCAAAGTTAGAGAAAGCTACAAGAAATGGTCGATTAGAAGCACATCCTGTTTCTGGAGAGGTCGAGGTTGATTGGGAGAGTGAGGTTGGAATACAATATCGACGACTCGATGAAGAGACTTTGCAGGCACTTGCTCTTCTCAAAGATCTATACCTGAGTGTGCGGCTCGTGTGGTGTGTCGGAGACGAGCTTGGCGGTGGTGATGGATGGAGAATTGGAGAAGTCGGAGTATATGACCCGGAAAATGAAGTAGGATGGGGAAAGGAAGATATTGGCTCTGCGGAAACTGCCTTCACAGCCGGAATTTTACAAGCATCTACACAAACAAATGGCGGTCTTCTGAAAGTCTCAAGCGGTGCCAAAGACCTCGAGGAAGAGGATGACGATGACGATGATTACTGGGCTCAGTATGACAGCACGCCCGCTCGTACACCCGCACCAAAACATTCTCCAGCACCTCAGTCCGTGCAAAAGGATTTAAGGGGCGCTGACGACGAAGACTCGTATTACGCACAATATGCCGATGTTCAGCCTGCCTTGGATAACCATGATCCAGATGAGGCAGCACAGAATGGTACCGTCGAAACATCTCTTGGTCAGGATGATCAAATCACTTCCACCCTACAACAAAACCTACAAAATCATACACAGTCTCGTGAGATTCATCCATGGGGCTCAGATTCTAGTAGTGGAATAATCAATGGAGGAGAATATGTCGAGGTCGTGCAACCACGACCAGGAAGTAGAACTAGCTCAAGTGGAAGTGAGACTGTCGCGAAACTCGAAAAGAGAGCAGAGGCGCGAGAACAAAGTGAGGTGGGCATCAAGCAACATATTTCGACCAGTGTGAAGAGTTTATACAGATTATCAAAAGTAGCTGGGATTGAGAGGGCAGAATTTGATAGGTTGATTCGGACAGAGTTGGACTGTCTGAGTCTAATGGACAAGGATGATCAGTGATCAGTGAGGATACATGTACGAGGTTATGAACATAGTAGCATAGCGGCATATGGGGTGGAGTTTATGGCATCTTCAATGCATAGCGTGAAATATTTGGAAAATAGGTAGATGATGTCGAGGAAATCTATGAAGAAGATATGAATATATGAAGATATGAATTACCAAATTGGCAAAGCAATTGTATTTTGCAGACATATTGAATTGTAAAAGTGATTAGTTATATAGGTACTTCTATGCTTATCTGTAATCTACTCTAAACTGGTTCAACTCCTCCTCAAAGCACAGACCAATAGTACTATAATGCTCCTTACCTCGAGTACATGTACTTCTACCCGTAACCTTACACCCTTGATTTTTTAATCTCCGTATATTGATTGAACAAAACAAAACAAACAAAACAATCCGATTCTAATCTATTTTTGGTGTCAACCTCGAGTCAAAAAGTTGAATTTTGGAATTTCTTTCATACAAATGTAATTATCGAAGAATTGAGAAACGGGGGATATCAAACAACCAATTGTGCCCTGACCAAAGTCCCCAGATTTCTAGCTTCATTAATCCTCCAAAGGTACAAATCACACGATAATACACAATGGATCAAGCAGATATACCTTCGTTGCTCTCGAGGCTGAACAGTGATGAGGATGCTATGCGCAAGATGGCAGTATTCAAGCTACAATCTTCTATTAATGATCCTTCATTCGCAGATGTATTTATTTCCTCGGGGGGCCTTACTATCCTACGTCGATTAATCATGACAACTAATGCGAATACCCTCGCATACTCCCTGCAGAGTCTCAGTCGTTTACTGGAAGTTGATATGGGCTGGGAGATCTTTGAGTCGCCGGGTGCAGGAGAATTGGTCGAACGCGTTGTCGAATTGATCGTTACACATCCTTTGGTTAATATTCTACGAGGAGCTATGTCAACCTTGGTCGCTATTGTGAGCCATCCACAATCTTCGGGAGGAGGCATCAAAATACCTGGCGCATTTGGATTTCGAGCCTTGAAACCTGCCGTCGCGGTTTATCCTCAGTTCTTCGAAATGGTGGTTTCACAGCTCAATTCTGCGGACCATCTACTTTGTGCGAATGCGCTGATGTTACTGAGTGCTTTGATGCGGGATGCGATTACAAATCAGAATGGGAACGGAAAGGATAATGTTAGCAAAAGTAGTGGGACTGGAGAGGAGTGGCCGAAATTCATCAAACGACTACAAGACTTGGGAGTTATAAAAGCTGCATATAACTTGATGCAAAGTTCGGCATTACAAGATCTATCGCATCCGCTATTGGAATTTCAGGGTTTGACCAAGGTTTTGTTAGGGAAATGGAGGGAAGTGAAGGTAGATTTGGAAAGACCGGAACATCGACGAGCACTGAAAGGTTTACATTTGGCCAGCGCACCCGAGAAGAAAGATCTTAGCAATGGAGCTTTGGCGAAGGTAGAGGCGTTAGAAAATGGGGAAAAGAAAGGAAGTCGAAAACACAATCCTGAAAAGTGGAGGCGTTTGGGCTTCGAGACTGAAAGTCCTGCTTGGGAGTTTGAAATGACCGGCTTCCTTGGTATGATGGACTTGACGGATTATGTTCGGAAGAATGAAGATGGGTTCCAAAAGCTTCTATTAGAGCAATCATCAAAACCACTTCATGAGAGATGCCCTATTGCAAGAGCTAGTCTAATGGTTACATCTATTTTATATGACCATTTCGATGTCGATAAATCAGATGCGGAGGATGCGAAAACTTATCTGGTGTTAGATGGTGTCAAGAACTATGATAAGATATTTCGACCTCTACTATTACAGTGGTCAAGATTACACTCATCGAGTTTGCAAGCTTTCTTTAGGTTATGGAAAGCCACTGGGGCGGAGCAGGACGACTTTATCAAGGTTGCAGAACTTGTACGAATATTGGTTGAGCAAGTGGTCGGACAGGCTTCTAGGACAACAGATGTTTTAGAGGTTGAAGAAGAATTGGCAGAATTCGAATACTCGAAACTACGAACCTTACAGATGGAATTGTTGGAATTAACATTCGAAGATGAATGGGGTCAACATTTGCATCAAGTGAGAGACGAACTCAAACATGAGGCTCTTCAATTCGTCAAGGAACAGAGAATAAGATGTTTACTTCAGGGAGCATGGTTTCCGAGAATCATCCAACCAAAGACCATCAGCGAAGAAGAATCTACCTCTACCAAAAGTCTAGGAAGAAGAATCCTAACGACCAGTTGGCGTTTCGTCAAACTCTCACATAATCGTCGATACCTTCATTATTTCGATTTCGATTACCAAATGAGCAAAGAACCAACCCTTGATCAATTACATGAAAAAATTGATTTGAGCACGATTAGTTCAGTCGTCTCCAATGTTTCCGCATCACATGATGACGGCTCCAGTATCTCCAGCTCATCAACCCTCAAAGATACCAATTCCACACCAAAAGCCAATACTACCACCAAAATCACAATCAATAGTTATGTAGATATTTCTGATAAAATACAACCAGATGGTGGTGATCCGGCCGAAAGAGCAATTCTGACATTGATGCCTCCGACGCATAGTCTGGCGTCGGAATGGCTGGATGGATTACTGATGTTATTGAATCAAGCGCCTATCACATCGGAAACTAATAAGCTGGTGGGTTTGGTTGGTGGTTATGGCTTAAAGATTCGTCTGTTGAATGTTAGGTTGGATGATGCAAATGGGTATGGGGGACCCCAGGTGGGGGCCGGTAAAGTGCCGAGTAGAGAGGGTTTGGATGAGGATTATTTTTATGAGGTGTGAAGAGGGATGTGGGCATGAACGTAGGCGTGGGTGTGGGCATCGGAGAAGAACTCGAGGTTGTATAATTGGATGGTTTGCATTGTGTTGTACTGTGGTATATTGTACTATACCCTATGCATATAATAAAGGGGGGAGAGGGGTACATGTGGATTTGGTATATGCAAGCGATAACAGTGCGGGTGGCAGCGTTTTTATTTATTTATTTATTTGCTTCTTTTTCTTTTCTCTTTTCTCTCTGATACTCTAGTTTTCTTTGTAATGATACCCTGGGGTTGGTTTATTGGGATATGATACGATGCGATAGATATATATGGTATGCTGGTTTAGTTCACTTTGTTTGGTATTGCATACATACATTATACATAGTAATTACAACATAGACAAGTATATCAAGTCAATCACACCGAAGCAATATAGGCCAGGATAATATGTTTGATAGAAGAAGATATGAATAATACCAATTCCAATTCAATTGTGAGAATTTCTACATCACTTTTATCCTACAGTACCATTCATTTATGCTTTCAACTCCTCTTTGGTATAAACTTCCCAAATCCAAAACGCCATTCTAAATTCTTTTCGATTTTCTTCACAGCCCAGTTTCCTCTCAACTCAGATTCTCCACTGGCTTGGCGGCGCCCTTGCCTTGGTTATCTACTAATCTCTACATATATATGTTAGTGGAGGTCTTGTTTGTCGAGTTGTAGTGAGGACTAACCAAGAGGTTTCTCAAGAGAACGGCAATTGTGACCTTTCCAATTGAAGGTACATAAATGGAAGCCTTCTCCTTCACAGCAGGACCGTCGAAATTCTTTTGAGATGAGAAATTAATACAAACAGCCCCATCCCTGATCAAATCGGTATTGATCTTGAATCTCTCTCCTGGAACACCAGAAATGACAACATCACTCTTGGACAAGCATTCATCGTTCTCCATTCCTTCAAGATCATGTACCTCGTGACGGATTTTTTTAATACCCTTTCCGCGAGTAAACAGCTTCACCCCATCAAGATCACACGAATAGACCGTGGCTCCATCATTCGCAAGTAATGCAGCCAAGGGACGACCAACTACCTCCGAGCGGTTGAATACAGTGATTGTCTTTCCGTATAAACGATTGCCATATGGTAGGACTGAGTTGTAAATTTGTAGGTGTTCGAGTACTTTGACAACAGCTAATGGTGTGCAGGGTAAAATCGACTTTTGGGTATTGTAAGGGGCGTCGAGAAATCGTATGTTTTGGTACATGTTGAATCGGTAGGTGTGTGCCAGCCCTTCTACATCTTTGTTTAATGCAACTATTTGTTGGACATATCCATCTTGGAGAGATGGCGCAGGGAAGATGGGGTAGTATACTATGATACCATGAATGGACTCGTCGTTGTTGGCTTTTAGGATTTCATCTTCGATCTCCTCCTTGGTGAACTTTCGTAGCTCAAAGTCGAATCCACTGGAGAAGAGGGGTCAGTAAATAGAACTCTCGATGCCCATTGCTTGTGGTATCCAATATATTGGGGAAGAGCTCAGAGCTCAGAGCTCCAAGCCTTGAAGCTAGAACACTGCTAGGTTGCCAGCGCAGTTCTTAATCCTCTTTCTTGAGGTCTGGTAACTTTATATCCGGTCTCCTCGCATGCGAACTAAACCTAGCAGTTTTTTTTTGGGTTGATCTGCGTTTACAAACCGAGTTTTGGTAAAATGTAGTAAACACTTAATTGTGAATGCTGTGTTGTATAGCAAATGATGAAGAAAAAGATACTCACTTCTCAATGCAGGTAGCCATCGACCAGTCCGCATACTGTTGAGCTGCAGGATCTTCATTTGCCAGTAATCCAACAAGCTTAGGCTTAAAAGAGAGCTTTTGTAGATCGGTGGAAACTTCTCCAAGTAACTTTTTAGCAATTCCCTGGGCCAAGATAACCTTACAGGTCGCTGGGACAGGAGAAGAGGCCATCTTTGGTTATGGTTGCAAGGAGATAGAGCGAAGGATTTCGAAGGATTTCGAAAGAGTAAATCGCACAGCTTTCGATACAGTCACAAGTGCTTCGACAAGGGTCTGGTGTACCTGCGTTGGTTGGTAGGGAATATTCCTCCAAATCAGAAGAGTAGAATTATTGAAACTGTTTGAGATAAAATTTTCATTCTGGAGCTTATCTTATCGGATTTTGGAGGGGGAATGGAGGGGTAGTTTTGACAGGGGATGTTAGAGGGATCTATTCTAGCCAGAATACAGGAAAGCTTTATAGATATAAGAAATAATTAGTTTATAAGTTCATATAAAAAAGGGGTAACAATTTCAGGATATGCTCTTCTTTTATAATATAGTTCTTCTCCAACAGTCTGAGATTTATTTTGTCATATATATGAATCATGAGAGCAAATATACCAGTAAAAGTATGCCGAAGTTTAACCATTGATTAATCATTGACCGCCCTCAATGGCAGAAATTCTCCCCTCATGTTCTAGAAATGATAATAGACCAATTTCATATAGAAAACATCTGCCATCCAAGAATACACCAGTTGGAAGACGCATTGTATCTTTCAATCTCTCTACTCTCTTTGATACATAGGGGAAGCTGTTAATCTCCATACCTCTTTTATTGAACAGCCATAAATATTGGTTTCTGCAACCTGCAAACTCACTTGTAACTTGCAACTCGACTTGTGCTGCACAGCTTGATAGACCTGTAACAGTTCTTTAAGAGTAAGTTATTTCACCTTTCTTCATGAACCAGTACCTGTTGCCCCTCATAGTTGGTGTCCAACCAGCCTTCTTCCCTTATTATCTGGAAAGATTCACAGTCACAGAATCGCAATGTCACAGCGGGGGTGTTGATCGCACCGTTGTTCTGGACACCCGAAGCAGCTTCAAGGCTACCAGCCTCCTTCCGACCTCCCCCTAACCTCCGCTCTCTACTCAGTTCATCGTATGGAGGTCCTTCAGAGCATCTGATTGCTTGGATTAAACCCACATGTTCGATTGCTTTCGATCCTCAACTCTCCCGCCGCAACATGTACTTCTCTCTCTGGTCCCCCTCTCTAGCAGTCTAGTAGCTAGGACCTCGAAATCAGCCTTTAGATACAAACTCTGGCACTTTACAATGACCTTTGTACCTTTTACCGTGTCTTTGTGTTCTTTCAGTCAATAGGCATGCAGTCATCTAGCTCGTTGGCTCTCGATCGCCGCAGCATTCTCATGTCTAAATCAATACAACTTCTATCAATTTGGAGCACAAGCTAGTCAGGCTTCCCATATTACCTACACGTCTATGGTCACCCAATTCTGTAGCTCAGTACACGGAATTATGAGCAACAGCCTCCTATTATTTGGTTTGATTCAGCATTTTATATTGTCAAATTGCTGACAATTGGTCCTTTTAAAGATTGTCTACTCTCATCTACTATCACACAATCTAATTTCCATTTCGGATACCTTCAGCTCCCCCTAACTCTACGGCATATCCACACTGGGAGCAATACACACAAAATGGGATCAACAGTGGCCGAGTTTATGTCTGCAGAGGCTGAGGAGGATAAGGTAGCAATTATCAATAAAAAAACAGAAAGTACGATTCTTAAGACTCCAACTAGACTAGACGTATCAGACTTAACTTTTGCTAATCTAAAAGATAGGTTTCACTGAAATTAGTAGCCTTATTCTGGAGCTTGGTCCATATATAAGTGGCGAGGCATCGATGGAAGCTTGCCAGAAAGGTAAATAGCTTGGAGGACATATGATCCGTACACGCTTCAGTACTGACTATGTCCAGGTTTAAATTTCTTGCTGCTTGTACTACAAAACATCGACTCTAGAAAGCTTTCAAGGCATGACTGTAAGTAGTCGAGATGATATCTGTTTTGTAGATTCTAATACACAACAGTGAGTGCTCTCGTTAATTACTTAACAAATCGGTTGTCTCATGCCGGGGAAATTCAAGTATATCGAGCTGGTCTATTGGAGATTGCCAAGTGCTTGACCACCATTGCAAAGATGCCCAAGTTTATCAAATCCAATGCACCTGATATTGCTTCGGCGGTTTTCTGTCTTCCAGAGAACACAAAGTCTTTAAATGACTTTCCTCATTCTACACGACTAAGTCTACTAGGCCTTCTCCAAAATCTGCTAGACGCATATTCAACAGCACTTAAGACCTCGATGGAAAGCAAATTCGTGGATGGTGTGGCCGCGATGGCGGCAGCGGAGAGAAATCCATCTTGCATCCTTGCCATTTTTAAGATTTACAGAACGTTAGGCAAAACTTGGAACATAAGTTCCGATGAAGCCGAAACCATGTTTGGGTCGTTCTTCCGTTATTTTCCCATTACTACTACTAAATCAGCCACGCCATTGAAACCAGAAGAAGATCTCAAACGCGGTCTCTTAAATTGTCTAACATCAAATGATGGTTTTGCATCTCTTGTTTTTCCATCGTTATTCCAAAAATTAGACTCCGAAAGCGTGAGGGCAGATGTAAAGGTAACAAAATTCATCTTCCTCAATTTCGTTACATACTAACCTATTAGATTGATGTATTTGATGCTATGCTTGAATGCATATACAGCTACACAAATGTTTCGGATTTCTCAATAACAATATGGGATACTTTGAAATGGGAGGTCTGGAACGGCGAAAACGATGACTTTATCAATCGTTCTATAGAAACTATTGCTGCGATTGCTAGCCGACTGGGACAACGACAATTTGATATGGAAGACGACAACAATGAGTTGGCAAAATTTGTCGACTACGTTACTCAGGAATGCAGTACAATATTTACGGACGATACAAAGAAGCGTATGATTTTGCCTTGTGCTCGTATATTAAGCAAGATTGCGAGCACCTCTGTCTACGCCTTTACACTCGTTTTTCGAAACTCTTTACCAACTCTATTTACCTTATGGCATCGACTTGATACTATGGCCGATAGAACACGTCTAGTCGAATCTCTAAATATAATTCTTGAAACACGTTCAGATATTTCGCGTTCATCCATTTCAGATAACGAAGACGCATCTCATCAGCCCACGAGAGACTGGACTGAGGAATACATGGCTCGACGAACGGCCATCATGGAGGAGTCTTTTGACAGCTTCCGCGAAAGTCTCGTTGAACTATACTTTGGCGCCACGTCCAGGTCATCTAGTGATCTCGCATTACAGATTGCCACCACTAAAGGATTCACACTTTTGGCCACGATCCGCAATAATTCCACGAACCAATCCTTCTTAAATTCTTTCGAACAGGGGACAATCGTTGAAAAGCTTAATGCGACCGCCTTTGACTTAAAGGAAGCGGAGGAGCTTCGCGCATTAGCTGTGACTTCCCTGTCCACCTTATCGGTTCGATATACAGATACATTTATCAAGATCACTCTCCCTAACTTCATGGGAAGACTCCCTGATCAATTAAGATCCGATAATGTTAATGACTCCGACTTGTCTCACGTGGTTTGGCTTTTAGACTCTCTTGTGGATATTGCATGCAAGTCAACTTGCCAACATGAGTTGGAAGTTCTTGACACTGATACCAAGATTCATGTCAAATTCAGTTTGTTCATGGCTTTGCAATCTGAATTGGTCACAAAATTTACACATTCTGTTTCCAAGAATGCGAATCAGACATCATATCAGATGGCCCTTTTAGCCGCAATTTACCGGGGATTGCAAGTCTTTGACGGTGCACTTGCTAACGATAAGATGACGAGTGAACTCTTGTCGAACAACGATGAAATCGTCGATACTTACTCCTTCATCGCCATCGCATTATTTAAACGAGTCGTTGGGCTCTTTCAGCATGAGGCTGGCGATTCAAAGGGGAGCTGGTTTGTTGGAATTTCCGAGGCTAATAAAGGAGAACCTTTCAACGATCTTGTTGTTGCGCTCGTTGGAACGATTGGGACGTACATACTTCGATCCAATAACACCTTGCATGCAAACAATTTCCTGCTCAAAGCTAATGCAGACAATCCAACTGAGCCAAGTCGTGTCTGGACTTTATTTAACTTCGGAGCACACACAAGACCAGACCTTGGTGTTTGTCAGCAAGACCTTCGTGTTGGCCCTTCTAATAAATGCTCTGCCAACATACTCTCTACAGCCCTAATAGCTGGAATTCACAAAGAAGTAAGTTCTGTTTGTACTTCTATTTCATAATGACTGGCTAATTTGTTACAGGATAAGGATCGATTAGGTCTAAAAGTTCACGAGACTGCTAAGTCAATGCTTTTGAATGCCATTTCCGTGCAAAATGATTGTTCAAGACAAGCTCGTATTAGCATGCTGCAAATGGTTCAGCTTCTTGTTAATAAATTCGGTGCAGATAAAGAATTGTTCGAGAATGGACGACCACTTCACGATATCATGCTCGAGCTAGTCAAAGATGCACCATCAAAACCGGATTCAGAAGCATATCAGATCTATCAAGCCTTGGCCTATTTTGCAGCGGCTGCATTAGCAGCATATGAGCCTTGCAGTACGGCGCTCATAGATGTCATGATGCAGGGTATTTCCGACCCAAAGCGCGGTCGAAAGATTGCCCAAAGCTTCGCAATTCTTCTGGCTCCATCAAACATCATGAACGAAAGCAACTTCTGTGTCCTTCGTCCACTTCGATTTGGCCGCATTTACAGTCTCGCGGTCAATCAACTCATCGCTCACTGGCGATCCAATGACGATAGCCGCATCAAGGACAACTGCCTCGTCGCTCTTGCTGGTATCCTTCGATACATGCCAGCAAAGATTTTGCAGGGCAATGCTGCGCAAATCCTCCCACTTGCCTTGGCTGGTACAAATGTTCCAAATAAAGCTACAAAGGATGCAAGCATGAATATCATGATCGTCCTTATGCCAGAAAATCCAAATTTGATCGAAGAACACCTCGATTCGATCATCAATCGCATGACAGATCGTACGCATAATACGTATGATTCTCCCTCGGATGCTACTGTGGAAGGTAGATCCAAGGCTCTAGATGTGCTTGCCATGCTTCCAACCTTGGTAGAGAATGGGCTTCTTCTGAAGCGGAAAAACAACGTGCTAAAGGAACTTGATATATCACTGGATGATTGTTCTAGAGAGGTTAGAATGAGGGCTGATAGGTGTAAAATGGTTTGGTTCAATTTGTAATTTGGGCTGAGCTCTAGCATAGCGTGGTGTTGAGGGATTACATTGGGTGGAAAGTGATTACATATGATTATTTCGGCGGTGATAGTGATACATATAAAACTAGTGGGAGGGGTGTGAATGAGCACTAGCAGATATATGTTGAGAATCTAATAGATAGATAATTAGGAGATCAGATAAATGAATATAGAAAAACAGTATATCGCATCGGAGAGGCAAGTGCTTCTTACTAGGACCCTCCCCCTCTTTTTCTCAAAGTGACGAAGAACATGGGACAGGGCGTTGCGCAATTCTGATGTTCGCAACTGCTGCTCAACAATATTGATGGAATGGCGAAAATGGAAAGAGCACGCACGTTAAAATTATACGTGCAATTCAATTTCGTCTGTTGAGATTTCGTCTTCTGAGATGGGTTGGTGATTGATGTTGATGTTGATGTTGTCATGAATTTTTGTTGCTGCGTGATCAGTTGGTGCTTCGGCTTCGGCGTTGTTGTTAGGTTATATTGATTGTTACTGTTGTCTTTATTTCATCGCTATCGTTGGACAAGCAAATTCAGTTTCTTGTCATTTTGGTCCTGATGATACTCACAGCTACTGTGGCAAGAATGGCAATCCTACGTCCATCATGGTTGAAGCTCGTCATGATTATGAGCGTTACGAGGTTGGCCGACTCGTTTTTCCTTTCAAGGTCATCTTTTATACTCGCACAGAAACATCATGATACAAAACCATGAGAAAGTCAAGATAGGCTTGGATATTACTGTAATACAACTGCCATGAGTTGTAATTCACTGGTATTGTTGAGGAATGATAGTTCTAAGCTTAGGTCAAGATAAGTTGCAAGGTAGTGTCAGAATGGGTCAGGAAGCACTAGTCCAAACTGGACCTCAACTCTGAGCTGTTCTGGATGCTGAGTTAATTAGGCTGTCTGATGTTGAGAATACCTTCAATTCATATGTTACACTTCCAATGTTCTAATAGGTATGATGGATGTATCTGTCACTTTATTCAACTCTTTCTTCCGACTTGATGTGGCAATTTCCAAATCTGGCAGATCCATTGATGCATAACAGCCTTTGATAGATTAACTGACCTATTTGACAAATCAGTATTGAAGTTAAAGAATTTCTCGATATCTGTGTATCAAGTTGTTATTGCTTCTCTAACAACCTCGCCATCTCCCATACCGGCCTCAGTATCTAAGGTTCCTCGGAACTATAGGAGTCAGTGGATGTAGTGACGACGATTTTATGGAGATTCAGAACAGTTTTATGCCTATATGGTAGTAAAATGAATATTTTGAAAGATCACTTTGTGCATGGAGACAAATTTGAATTGGTTGGTGTATCACTTAATAAAATGCTTCTACAATCCGGTTAAAGTTAGGTCGGATACACTAGTCTGGCTAAGTAGCATGCATCCATGAGGGAATCAGAAGATATTTGATAGATTTAACATGCTTCACAACTATTACAGTATCATGGGTGCTCAGCATTATCTTCAACTTGTGTACATTAGACTAAAACGAACGATACTTTTCACCTAGAGCCCACAGCACGATCAATTATCCTGCCAGACCTTGCTCTTTCCCAATAATATTACAAAAGGGTCCCCCAAATTGTTTTTAGTATTTTGAAGATACATTTGAACGTCGATATATTCCTCTTCATACAGCTTGTGAAATTGGGTAAATAAAGAGGCTGCACTAAATCTATTTCGTAACTTCCACTTTGTCACTAGCACATGACAACTCCTTGGACTCGGTAGTTATTTCATTCCCTTTATATTCTTCGATTTCCATCCCATTTTGGTTCTGCGCGTTCTCTCCAGAAGAAGCCGTATCTTGCTTGGCAGTATCTTGCATGGGGACCCACTTTATGGCCAGAGCACCAACAACAGACACGCAGCTTAGCGCAAGCGACACATGGAAAGTCTTGATGATGGAGTCACTACTTGCACTCTTCGCTAATGCCTGGCTCTCTGCGGTCATTGAGGATAGAATTGTAGGCAAGGTAGACAGTAATAGAGAAGATGAGCTTGAAGATTGCGGCAGAAGTGGTTCGAGACGCTTGTGCATCTCACCTTGGAAGATGCTTTGTGCTGCAGCCACAAAAACCGAAGCACTGAGATTCTGAACCAGTGTTATAAAGGTCACTCCGATGGGGACATCTTCTGCAGGCAACAATGTTTGCACAACGTAGCTTGGCTGCCCAAAACCAAAACCAACGCCGAAGCCGTAGACAAGCTGGTAACCAATAACTCGTGCCATAGAAGAATTCAGGTTGATAGTTGTGAGCAAAGCAGCCCCAGCAATTGAGAGCACAGTCCCAATGATCATAGCTGGGTTGTAATACTTGAAGCCGCTGGTGATACCTTCAGCCAAGATCGAAGCCACAACGTAACCGGCAATCACTGGAGTCAACAACCCACCCGAGGAAAGAGGGGAGTGACCGCGGACGTCTTGGAACCACACAGGAAGAAATAAAATGGCAACATAGACGCCTCCCGTGATACACATAGCATACATACCGGCTAGCCAGATATCACGATTGCGTGCTAAGCTACTTGGGATTGTGCGGGCGTTTCCGGCAAGTTTTGTTGTTTGAGTAGCTACGAATGCGATAGCTAGGATTCCAGATACGACGAAGAGGGCAATGACACGACCGTTGCTCCAAGGATAGGTTGCACCGCCCCATTGTAGAGCCGTAAGGAGACATATCAAAGATACTACCAAAGAAACCGTTCCAGGAATGTCGAGCTGTAGAATCTTTTGCACGATACTCAAAGACTGTGCGCTTGGGTCTGATGGCGTGTGGATAAGAAACCCGCACAAAACCACAGTCACTGCTTCCAGAGGCAGATTAATGCCGAAATATTATTTTTATGTAGTTGATTGAAGTATAGCAGCTCCCAGAAACGGCCCAAGAATGGCAGCCAATCCTAATGCAGCCGACATAACACCTAAGTAGGCAGCACGCTGGGCCAGCGGGATTAATTTCGTGGTGATCAAGACAATTCCAGAGAACACATCAGCGGCAACCAATCCAGCGATCGCTCGGCCAATGATCAGGGCTATCGAGGTATGCTCTGTTGTGCAAATAAGAGATCCGATCTCGAAGATAACAATGGCGATAGGCGTTAGCCCACCATCCAAAGTTTTGCGATGTATCAAACTCGACGTTGATGACGGGTATTGCAGTAGCTAAAATGGTTTGATCCTGTATTAAATCAAATGGTTAGCATATAAACTTCTCATATACCGAATATTGCTAGAAATCATTTCGTACCATGCCTGTAAGAAATACTGCCAGACAAATTCCGACCATTATAAGCGTTAGACGAGCAGCATTTGGTTTTGTAACTGTTTTATCTTCCGATGACTCCATGGTGAAGCTTTACTTTATGTTCAAAATGTTGTACGTAGGGTATTTAAGTGCTTAAGGGAAGATATAAATTCAGAGTTTGTGTGAAAGTTGTAACAGAATGGCAATCAATCAAGGATAAATGATTTGAATTCAGTATTTGGGTGGAAGGGCGTGTTTTTCCAGTCTTTTAGATGGAGATATCAAATCATGCAACTTGCTGTAGCTGCGCCTTACGCTGGTATCTATTCACCCCTGCTATACGGACGGAATTCATCCAATTGGTCACATCGACAAGAATCCTTTTGATTGGGTATACCGGTAATATCGGCTTTGTCTCTTTCCGTTTTGATTTTCTTATATAGCTATCAAGTCCTGCCACTCAACGGGTAACATCAATCTTCCATATTCATCACCATAATAGCTACGACCATGGATTTTCTCGACGTTGCCATTATCGGAGGAGGTCCTGCTGGACTTACCGCCGCAGGTGCCCTAGCACGCCAACTTCACACTGCCGTGGTTTTTGACACTCAAACCTACCGTAACAAGAAATCTACTCATATGCATATGGTTCCTACCTGAGATCACAAGGACCCCAAAGATTTCCGAGCCGCAGCGAAAGCTGATATCTTGGCGAGCTACTCTACTATCCAGTTTATTGACATTGGTGTCACGAGCATCGAGAAGAAATCTGACTCCCACTTCAAGCTTGTCGACGCAAATGCTAAGGAGTGGAACTTTCGGAAGGTCATTCTTGGCCTCGGTATGACTGACACTCTTCCTAACATTGAAGGCTATGCTGAGCTCTGGACCAAGGGAATGTAAGTCTGCCTTGTCTACAATATCAAAACTATGTACAATATTAACTGACTCTGTTCCTATTCATCTAGATTTCACTGTCTTTTCTGCTTCGGTTACGAAGATCGTGGCGCCAAGTCTACAGGTGTTCTCGTGATACCCCCTATTAGTCCTATGGCAGGTCTCAACATGGTCATAGCCGCAAATGCCGCCCAGCTCAGTGACGAAGTCACTTTGTACACCCATGGTGATAAAGGGATAGCTGCACAACTCAGTCCACTGGCCAAACCACCATTCAAAATTGATACACGCAAGATTGAACGCTTTATCGACAACAACAGATCCTCTGTCACAATCAAGTTCGCCGATGGTTTTGTCAAAGAGGAGACTTTTCTAGTCCACAACCCACAGAATACAGTCCAAGGCCCATTCATCGAGCAGCTCGGTCTTGATGTAAGCCCTACTGGAGATATCTTAGCACCACCTCCATTTCATCAAACCAGTGTCCGGGGAGTATTTGCGGCCGGTGACTGCATCACACCGTTCAAGGCTACTCCAGCTGCCATTGCCAGTGGCTGTAACTCGGCTGTGGCATTAACTGCGCAGTTGCAGGCGGAGAAGCATGACCTCGCTCCACTATTTTAGTGCATGCTAGATCAGGCGGAGGACATGCATGTCTATGATTGCGGATTTTTATTCATAGGCACATTACCATAAAACATAGTCAGAATGATACATTGGTTGTGCTTGATTTACTTATTTTATTGCCAGTGTTTGATGATTGAATGAGTGTACTAGTAAAAGCATTAAGTCCTACAACTCTAAATGTTATTTGTCTTCAACAAAAGCTTCAGTCATCATGCGTTTCACAATCCATATCACCTACATTTACACTGCCCTCTTTACCACAGCCGTTATTGCAATTCCCATCGTTGAACCAGAAGCCGACGCTCATGTCTATCTTCAGCTTGGACAAGATGTTGACCCAGCAGCTTGCTGTTCTTGAATAAATTCTTCTGAAATTCATATTTTTGAATTTATATTAAAATACTAAATATTAATTTAATTTATTATATTAATTAATCTTAATATAACGTGGTTTATCAGTGCGTCGCGCATATCAGTGCCTCGCGCAATTTTTCACTACTCAATCATTTCAAAATATTATTCAATAATCACAACATATAAAATTAATTGAAACTATTCAGAATCTGATAAACTAGAGTCTTCTAAATCCTCCTGACAAGTTCGTATATTATGACCAGTTTTACCACAAGAGCCACAACGACGTAAAGTTGATTGTTCCCCATTTGAACTACCCCTCTTAAAGCATTCGTCGCATCGAATCTGATTATCTACATCGGTCTGTAATATAATATTATATCTATCTTGTATACTAAGTATTCCTCCTTAACGAATTCGACTCTTTTTAACTCTACGACATTTACTCAATGTCTCATTTGCCTTTCGAAAAGTACGAATCTCAGCACTTATAAATGTTATCTCATAAGCTAATATCTCTGTACCCTTAGCTAAAGCTGCAACTGTTTCAAATATAGATATAGGAGAGCTTCCTTGATGTTGTGCAATTCGATTTTTAACTAAGGTTGATTGCGAAAGAGCATCGTTCGAGTTGTGAAGTGTTTGAGAAACCCAAGGATCGAGCTCTACAGAGGAGGATCTGGTAAACGTAGATGTTCATAATTTGATATCTAGCTTAGAAATAACAGCTTGAGGATCAAAGGGTATTAATCCAGCTCCGCGGAATCCAGATAATCCATTTTGAACAGTTATTGATTGTAGATATACTGCTTTGAAGGCTATAAGGAATTCGACCTTGGTGATATGATTGATATAAGCCTTAATATACCCCTCAATTTGTTGGCCATACATTCGTTTTAAAATACTAAAACATCCGACATCGAGTGGTTGAGTAATATACAAAGAATGAGGAGGTAATGAAAAAGTTATAATATTGTGTTCTTTGCAATATTCTTGAAATGTAATCGATTCGTGGCTTTCGTGTCCATCTAATACTAGCATTCGATAACCACCTTGTTTTCGAGTAATAGTATACTTATCGAAGTGTTTAATCTACTCTAAACCTGTCTCATTATTCGTCCATCCATTATTAGTGACTTTAATCACCCAATCAAGTAAGAGATCACTCTCAGTATACCAACTCGAGAGATGATTTTTGCCCTTAACCACTAAAAATGAAGGAATGCTTTCTCCTATACCATTGATACATACAATCGCTGTAGCCCATTCTCGATTACCTAACTGTATTGCTTTGTTTCTGCCATATCGTTCAGCATTAATTACAACCATCCCAAAGCATATAATACCCATCATAAAGCCTATTTCGTCGAAATTGTAGAAATCGCAATCGAGAATACCGTATTTCGCCCGCATATTCGATACTAATCGAAACCACCCTTCAATAAGCTTTGGATCTTCACAAAGAGCTTTTTGGAAATCATAAACGCAATTAAAACGTATCTTTAATTCTGACCAGCGTTGTACGAATCGATACACCCAAAGCTTTCCAACATAATATGCTCCACGAGTATCGAGAATATCATTCGCCATATCTTCCACACCACTCAATCGAGGGGCAAATCCTCGTGTGTCCATATCGAGGATATATTGAAGAATCACTTCTTTTTCTAATTTAGTTAATTTTTGAGTTGGTGATCGACATTCCTGTAACAGGGTTAAACCGTTCATTCGATTCCGAAGTGTTGTTTCAGGGACATTATAGAGTTTAGCAGCACTCCGGCGACTCTTTTTTTTTTGATTTATTAATAGCTTCAATAGCTAAGATAATCCGAGCTTCTTTTGAAGTGTTATTCATTGTTGATTGTTGATTAAACGCGTATTGAATTGAAGAGTTGCAAAATAGTGAAAAAGTGCGCGAGGCACTGATATGCGCGACGCACTGATAAACCACGTTATACTATTTATAAATTCATTTTATATAAAAGTTATTCGACATTGGAATATTCAAAATATAACTAATTCAATATCGAATTAATTCTTTTAAAATTCATATTTTTTAGTTTATAATTAAAGTGTGACGGAACGTAGTGAAGCACTTTACTACTAGGCCAACAATCCCAAAAGGGACTAGAATAGATTGGGAAATCTATTGGTGCTTGATTATATATTTTATAATTCGTTATATATTCCCCCCGTTTATTAAGCGAGGTCTCTTGAGTTAATCATCCCTTTATACTAAATAAAGATCATCTCTATATACCTGTATTTCTTCAGTTGGAAAATCATTGGCATGGTGTGACCAAAAGGGTATAAACAGGACTCCGATTGTGTACTTAGAATCTACAAGTGAAGAGCTATGTAGGATGCTAAAAGGAGGGCTATATATACAGGTATTGGGAGCCATAAGGGCTAGGCCCAAAAGGGTGAAAGAGACCTAGAGATAAGCATCGTACGATGCCTAGGTCTAGAGCTGTAGAGCTAGAGCTCTAAGCTGTGAAAGGAAGGTCCAAAAGAGCCGTCCTATCATACTACATATGTAGTATGAGCCAGTGGGCGGAAGAGAGCCGTCTGTTCCGTCACATTGGGGTATCAAAGTTGAAAATGAGGCTATTCCAGGTATTTACCCTATTATTTATAATACTAGAAAGAACTTCGTGAATAAAAAGTTTATTCAATTTGCTAATATAATAGTAATCAGTACAAAGAGTATATTAGTCAAAGCATATTGATCAATCGGAATTGTTGAATAATACTACTACTTTATTTGATAAGCATATAATATTATATAAAAGGAAATGAAGGATTTAAGAGCATCAAAAGAGATGATACTATAGATGACAGTCAAGGCTATCAATAATATAGCTGATCCCAATGGACTTATGCCTATTTTATTGGTATTCGGCATATATCCACGAATAAGCAAATATAACCTATCTATACTATTTGTTTTGTAACATTCAATTGTTATCAAGAAAGCAATCATTAAAATCAACAAATTAAAAACAGAAAGACAAATAGCAGATACATTAAATCAACGAAATAGATCTGTAAAATAGAATTATTAAGTAGACCAACAGAATTCTAATCTATTATAATCAAATTATTTCGGAAAAAGTCTCTAGTGGCAAAATCAATATTATTTGTATAAAAACTGGTAATACAGGAATTGGCAAGAGATAAAAATCTATCGAAAAAGGATCTATCAATTCAACCAAGATCATTACTCTGAATTGAAATTCTATAACGATGTTATCTATATCAATTATAAGGTGATGGTCTAATGGATATCAATCTTGCAATGTTATATACTGAATCAATTGATAAAAACTCTGAAAACAATACCGGAAACTTTGATAAAAAGACAGAGTTATCAATACTACAATTGACAATATTCTCTTAGAAAGAAAACGATTCAAATAACAATAATAATATAATCAATAAGATATTTGTTAAAGAACCTATTTTGTATCTAATCACATTATCAATTTACAGTGAATCGAGGGATATCAGCAATTGGAATAATGATGCTAACGAGATCGTTCAGTTGTGTCTGCTCTTCGAAATTGCTGATGTCGCCTCTCCAAATCCTCCTCAGAAGTGATGAGAAAGGTTGGCGATAAACCATCCTAGAGCTTACAGAATATCCATTCCATGGGAGGATTATCAGAACTGTGTCGGACAGATGAATTTTATCAAGGACTGCTATTGGAAGTAAATAATTCAAATAGTAAAATCAATCTCAAGACTAGGAAAATGAACAATTGTTCACAAATTTTCTTCACAAGTACAACAATATGTGTGGTGAATGTGTAAGGTTTTCGAATGTATTCGAGTATACACCTAGGTAGTGATGAATTGTGTGATGTCAATTTAAAGTTGTCTCGATAATGATCACCTGACCTCGGCAATTTTATGGGTTATAAATCGGATTAGTAATCCAAACACACAAACCAGCAGAACCAACCCATCCCATACTGAATATATTCGATAACGTGGTTTATCATGACCCTGCGCATATCAGGACCCTGCGCACTTTTTCACCATTCAACCACTTCAAATTATTATTTAACAACCACAACATCTAAAATTAATTGAAACTATTCGG